TAGGCAGAGGTGCACATTACGGCACTTAATGCCCCTGTACAATGCAACATCCACTTTTCACTATTTATGTTATAAGTCCCATGTAATAGGGGGTGAGCCTATTGGCAATACCAGGCACAATTCCAAACTCCGTGCTACTACTGAGATTATTAAAAACCCAATAATACTTTGCCCGATCCGGGAACCCCGGAACCAGAGACGCCTTGTCCAGCAGTTGCACTTGCGACCAGTCGGCCAACGAGGCAGTCATCAGCACAAGAACTTCCATCTTCAATTATAAACTTTTCGGTTCTAAGGACTATTTTAGTGGTTACAAATTGAAACTTATGCGGTTTAATTAAAATTGGGTTTGCTAAAACAAAGCGTTTATTAAAACCATCCATGATTTATGTTCTAGATAATCTTAATATCAGCTTTAGCTATAAACATGGATAACAATTTTGTTACTTACTATTATAACGTAGAGTTTCAGCAAGAAGCCATGCTTGGGCCGGCTCGACTGCTACCACGGCCTTACAGAAATCGACGTGAAGCAACGCTTGCGTTGTGTTTCATCGTGTGAGTGAGGTTACCTGAGGCCCAATTACCCTCCCGTTACTCACCTCCTCAGTCTCCCATATCCCCGAATCTCTAACATCTTCAAATTCATAATCCCCAAAGGGCCGGTAACGCATTTGTAACACCTCTGGTGTTTCAGGTGTCTATGGGTAGCTCCGATTGCTTACGATCAGCTGATTTGCTACGGGCTTATCAAACAGTTACGAATATAAGATTCGTTTATCATCGTTCGTATAGTTTTTAAAACCATATTTAGACTTGTACCTAATAGTCTAAATACCATCTACTTCATAAATGTCTTATAACCGACTTTAAAAAAAAGGAGGTACTATGTTTGATTGATTGTTTTGTTCATAGCTTGTAACAAAATATTATAACTTAATGGCTATGCTTTATATTAGGTAAGCTTTAATGAAGAATTTTGTTTAGAGCTTTATGGTACCCACTTCTTACCTATCAGTGGGTTGGTAACCTATAAGTACTTATGACATAAACATAACATCACGCCTTTTCTCCCCGAAGAGGTAGGCAGTGGTAGAGGTGCACATTACGCCACTGTACAATGTAATACCCACTTTTCACTATACATATTTATGTTATGAGGCCCATGTAATAGGGGGTGGGCCTATTGCCATATACCGGACACAATTTCAGATTCCGAGCTACTACTGAGATTTTTTTTAAAACCCAGTAATATTTTGCTCGACCCGGGAATCGAACCCGAGACCCTTGCCCGGCAGTCGCCAATGAGGCAGTCAATTCGTATTCAAGTCACTACGTATGACTAACAAGTAATTTTTTGCTTTATATTTGTAAGGTGTTTGAAATGGTTTTTAGCGCACGTAAATCAGTTTAAACATGCATATAAATGATGTTCATCATCAAGAAATCAATACACATCAACATCATTATGTTAACTACTTATAATTAAACGAAAGCTTTTCTCATTATATCAATTTTTCGCTGCAAAAGTAATATTTAGCGCCATCTATGAAACGTTACTTGAAATATTTAAAATATTGCGCAATGTTAGAGCACCCTACGCATGCCTGTTATTGTCAACAAAATAGAGGAATTAAAGTTCTGCTGTATGCTCATAGATGGCGTTAAAACATGTTGTATATTTTGTTTTTAAAATGTTCAAATATACGCAACCAAAAATGAATTAGCGAAACTGGTTCAGAGCTTTTCTCGAGACTTTCGCTCAGCAGCATTTGACAATATATTTTTGTATTATACGTAGATAGTGAGGAGTACCTATATAAATTTACGAATTACTAATTTGGTATAGTGGTCATCGGTGACCGCCCTCCACTATCTACATTATTGACCTTATTTCCAATGTTTAGAGACTACTTTTGTATGAACAAGTTTAGGGGATGATTTTCAACAGGATATTTACAAATTTTAAACAACCCGAAAAAAATCACAATGCCACAAAAAAAATAAGATAGGAAATCTCCTTAAATTTACTCAACTCGTTTCAAGTACCCTTAGATTCTGTTGTAAATACCTAATCTATTTATAATAATTGTCCTTCATAAGCCATTTCACATTAATAAGTATGAGCTTCTATCAATAACTCGTTTATCAATAATTTAAATAATTAACAAATCATTTCAAACCTGATCAACTGACTTTTTGAATGACCTTGAAAATTGCGTATGACGTCATTTTATTTGGCCATTTTATCATATCATCATATAATATTACTTCTATAATCATATAATGAGTATGCAAATCTGAGGATCAAACGACCACTCGTATCTTAAACTAGTTGTTGCCTGCGATTTCGTTCGAGTATTTCTTTTTTGTTCTTTATGTAGTATTGTGAATAGAAATGGGGTACAGTACATAGTATAAAACAAACTCGCTATTTACCGTCTGTCTATCTCTATGTATGCTTAGATCTTTAAAAGTACGCAACAGATTTTGATGCGGTTTTCTTTAATAGATAGAGTGATTCTTTAAGAAGGTTTATATGTATAATACATGCATTTACACCCGTGCAAAGTCGGGGCGGGTTGCTAGTTATAACAATAAAAAGCTGAAGAAGAAAAAGAATAATAATAAAATGTTAATATTACTGTTTCACGATAACTACAATCCTTTACAACATCACATTTAATCAGCATTAGCCATTGTATAAATTGAATATCATAATATAAGCGACTTCATAAGTAAATTGTTAGTTAATTAATAAAACCTTCGTGATTTTTTCGAGACAAAAACAGCTGTCGTCCAACTCTGTAATATACTCATTCATGTCTTTTTATGGGATAGGCCGATAAACGAGTAGACGGATCACGTTGGAACTTCATAGAGCACTTCCGACGTTTGGCTCCAAAGTTGGAGAGGACGGGGACTGCGTTCAAACGCATCCTCCCCAACCTCGGGGGGCCAAACGCCTCCTGCCGGAGGTTATACGCCGGGGTCGTGCGGTCCATGGCCCTCTACGGCGCCCCTGTTTGGGCGCCTAACCTGTTGCGGCGTCCCGCTCGGACGCTGCTCATGGCACAGAGGGTCATGGCGATCCGAATGATCCGCGGATACCGCACGATCTCTGGGGAGTCGGCGAACCTCCTTGCCGGATTACCGCCGTGGGATCTGGAGGCGAAGGTGCTCGCGCGCGTGTACAGCATGCGCGCGGAGGCACGTCGCCGGGGCGAAACCCCGCTGCCGCGCCAGATAGGTGCGTGGCGGGATGAGCTCCGGCGCGATCTCATGGCGGAATGGCAGCAACGACTGTCGCAACCGAGGGCTGGGCTCGCTGCCATCGCAGCGGTAAGTCCCCTCTTTGAGGAGTGGCTTGAGAGACGCTACGGCGTCCTCACCTACCGCCTGACGCAGGTCCTCACCGGACATGGAAGTTTCGGGAGGTACCTGTGTCTGATGGGGCGGGAGGAAACGCCCGGGTGTCATCACTGCGAGGACCGCCCTGAGGACACGGTGGAACACACGGTGGGAGAATGCCCTTCGTGGGCTGAGCACCGCCGTGTCCTCAGGGAAGTGATCGGCGATGGCGACCTCTCGCGTCCGGGCCTAGTGCAGGCCATGATGCGGAGCGAGGGGGATTGGGATGCCGTCTCCTCCTTTTGCGAAGCAGTCATGCTAGCTAAGGAGGAGGCGGGACGCGTGAGGCAGCGAAGCGCTGCCTCCTCGCAACCCAGCCATCGCGAAGGACACACCGGGCGTCGGGGATCGCGGGACGATCTCCGGCCACCGTAAGCGCGGGCCTGCGGACGGCGAGCATGGGTGGCTCCCCGTCCGACCAGAAACAGACCCGAGCGTACGGCGCGTCGCGTTCCGCGCGCGCCTCAAAGAGCCATCAGACCACCACAGATGGGGCCCAATAGGGCCGATGCCGATTCGGAGTCGCGGAGAACCTAACGGGTAACCGGGGCTCCGGCTCGACGTGCAGGAGAAGGAACGGGGTGGTTTTTAGTCAGTAAGAGTCTGACACTCCCTCCCGCCTCACCCAGGCGGGAGCAGTCATTCGATGATTTTCCACCCTTAAAAAAAAAAAAAAAAGACGGATCACGTGATGATAGGCAATCGGCGCCGCTTATGGGCACTCGGAACACCAGAGGCGTTACAAGTGTGTTACCGGTCTTTTGGGGAATAGAAATTTGATTGGGCCGCCAGTGACCTCACTCACACGACAAAACACAACGCAAGCGATGTTTCACGTCGGTTTTCTGTAAGGTCGTGGTATCACTCCGGTCGAGCCAGCCCATTCGTACCGAAGCATGGCTCTCCCACACTTACATATCTTAATATGTATCATCATTTAATATCTAAACATCTAGCGTGTGAAAGACAAACACCCACACAAATATTTATATTTATTTACTACCATTGATAACACAATATAATTTACGATATTACTTCAATTTCAATAAGAAGATTCTTTTAATACAACATTGTCATTATTGATTTATACATAACGGTATCTATAGTGAGGAACGCATAAAAATTTAGATGTTTATACTCTGACGGCCAGACAAAATAAACTCATCATTAATTTCAATTGAGCTACATTCAATTTAGTTTATTATCAGACTCACCAAGTAAGAACTCAGTCTTATCTAACAATCAGATAATATATGTAGTGCGAGCGCTCTAAAATAATTTATTTACATAATTATTTATTGTGAAATTACTTCCTCAATAAGTGGTTTATAAATATAATATTAATTTATAGTGTAAACGGTTTGTTAATAAGTGAGAGTGAATATGTAAACTTATAACTGTACGGTGTAAATGGTGTGTAAACTAAATGTAAATTAGTGAAAAATCGTATGTAAACTAATGTGAATGAACTTGTAAACTTCATGTAAATAAATAAAAAATCGAACTGTTTTTTTATGTTAAACGTTTGTGATAAATTTAAAGTGAATTTATAATTATAGAATGATATAAAGTGTTAAGTGTAATTGTGTTTATTTAACTCGGTATATAAAACTATTAAATCTTCAATGACATAAGTATAAAATCATGAAAAGATTAGAGGTAGATGAAAAGATTGTGAAATTTAATATTAACGTTCTTAAATAATTTTCATAGCCAGTACTCTTAGACCTGAATTGTACTGTGAGTGTCTTGTCTACTTAAAATCTCAAAGGTAATTAATTCCCTTACATTTTATCTAGACTTAAATCATTAATAGGTATCATTTTATCTGATTAGGTAGATAATTTCCATTTATGAAGTATTGAATGTAATTGACGAAGATTTGATAGTCATTAGTCTACAAACACAGTTTTTTTATGGCATAAGTCGGTAAACAAGCAGACGGATCACCTGATGGTAAGCAATCGGCGTCGCCCATGGACACCCGAAACACTAAGGCATTACAAGTGCGTTACCACAGATTGTGGAGGATTCGGGGATTCGGGAGATTAGGGAGGGGGGGGGGGGTAATTGGGCTTCCTTTTTTTTATTAGATAATCATTACCATCGTCATGATTTTTTATGAGATAAGCCCGTAAAGGAGCATCCGGATCAGCTGATGGTAAACAATTGCCATCGCCCATGTATACGCCAAATATTAGAGGCGTTACAAGTGCGTTACTGGACAAATCGTGCCGGTCACATACAAAAATCTACATAGATCTCTAGGTACTTACTTCTTCGGTTGTCATTTCTTATAATATATCAATTATTTTCTTGAATTAAATTATACTGTAACTAATTATATCAAGAATACTTCTTCCGTATACGCTTCTTCCAAAAACGATTAAATTATGATTAACGTACGAACTTCTTCGAACGAAGTTCTTCCCAACGTGTGCCAAATATAATAATTTTATTGGATAAAGTGACGCGAACCGATTTCAGTACAAAAATAAATAATAAATTAATGAAACATATATGTATTATCATACATAATAAGGTATGATGATTTTAGAATTATTTGAACATATATGTATGAGAACCATGTGTTTGGTAGGTCGAATTGCTCTTTTATGTTCGTCAATATAATTTCATTATAACTGTCATAACTTAACAATGATAAGTCACAAGTAACATCTGGTACTTAACAATAATTAATGATATTTTAATTATAATGATATAATTAGTAAGAGGTTCATTGGATTCCCCATGTCTCTTCTGTTTTTCTCTTCTGTATACATCACATAATATCACGCCTTTCTTCCCCGAAAGGATAGGCAGTGGTGCACATTATGGCACTTAATGCCACCGTACCATGTAACACCCACTTTTCACTATTTTATGTTATGAGTCCCATGTAATAGGGGGTGAGCCTATTGCCATATACCGGGAACAATTCCAAACTCCGCGCTGCCATTGAGATTTTTTTAAAAACCCAATAAAACTTTGCCCGACCCGAAAATCGAACCCGAGACCCCTTGCTCGGCAGTCGCACTTGTGACCACTCGGCCAACGAAGCAGAATACAAGATCATCAGACGATTACTTATACTTATGTAAGATCTTTTTCTAAAAAAATACCGATTACTTACGTGAGTAGGCTACGCGCCTACGTCGCGCAACCACACACGCTGCTCATGAGGAAGAACCCCTCTATGACTCGAACCACCTAGTAAAGCTTATCTCAGTATTTGAACGTGAGTAACCCGCGATTTTTTAGAAAAATATCTATCGTACGTAATCATCTGAAGATCTTGAATACATCTTCAAAAAATAAGTACACATCTTTCCTACAATATGTACAAACTGCTAATGATACAGTTTTTATCTATTTTCCTTTCAGTGACAATAAATCATGTTGGCAGCAAAGAAACTGATCGTCTACATTGGTATCCCGCTGGTGGCGTTACTAGTTGTGGTGGGAATTGCTCTAGGATTCATATTTTATTACAAAGAGTGAGTATTTGAAATCAATGGTTGGACGACCCTCAAATTGCTGCATTTTCATGTGTGTAAATGCATTACTTACATTGTAACTTGTTTACTATTGAAAATAATGGTCAAGATTTTACATTTGAATATCAGCCATGCTTAGATGCAATCTCCACAAAAGATATGTATAGCCTGCACAGTTACACGGTATCATCATCATCATCATAAATGCATCTGGTGATCAAAGGAGAAGGTTTGAGCATTAATCACCACGCTTGCTTAATGCGGGTTGGCGATTTCAAACTTATAATTAGGCAATATAAGCCAATGTTTCCTCACGATGTTTTAGTTTATCGTTTGTTAGTGGTGTCTTAATTATCATAAAAATAAGATATAAATCGGAAAGAGTATTATTGGTACTTGTCGTTGGTAGGCCCCTTTCATTCTTTTTTCTTCATTTAAAATTTTTAGCTAGGTAAAGCATGTTTAAATTGTACGCAATTTTTGTAACAATATTTATAAAATTTGTGTTGATGTTTTGACTGCACGGGTGGTGCAGTAGATGGGCAACTGGCAGTCGCGCAACGTACATATAACAGGTACTATTCCCGCACAGAACAACTCTTTGTGTGATCCATTAATTGTTCTTTTGGGTGTCATTTGTATGTGAAATTGTATGTTTGTAAACGCAAACATAACATAGAAAAAAATCCTAGTGTGGGGGCAATTTATTTTTATTAAAAAAAAAAGAAATAATATTAAATGTGGATGGTAGGAAGAAGGAAGGTGATCATAGAAAACATAGAGAAATTGTGAGAGTGAGAGTATCATAGAAGATTTTTGATGGGAGTGTATTTGGCAGGGAGAATGAAATAAAAGAACATTGTTGGCGATCCCCAGGTGCTTTAGGATAAGGCCAAAAAATAATGGAAAAAATATTAGAAACTAGCTTCTGCCCGCGACTTCGTACGCGCAATCTCGTTTTATCCCGTTCCCTTAGGATTTTCAGGATTTTTTCTGTCATAAGAACCTTCTCCTGACAATAAAAAACACAACAAAAAAAAATCAGCCCAAACGGTCTAGCCGTTCTCAAGTTATGGCGTGACAACGGGAAACAAGGTTTCATTTTTACCGATTTCATTATATATATGAAGGTATAAAGATCGTTGAAACAAAGGTGGATGTAATGTCACTTGGAAATGGTTGAAGCACTAAAATGTCAGTGATATATTTTTGTGTGCGTGTACTTCCAACACAGTAATATATGAAGTGTAAAATGGCCCGTGCCATGTCACGCGACAGATAGTGTCCTTCATGTAACTATGTTCGCCTTTTTTCAACGTCCTTGATTAGAAATTGGATTTTTGACGCCTTTATCTTTCTGAAACCGCATAGTGACTATATATTTGTGCATTTTAAAGTAAGATTAAAGATAAAAATAATATCGTCGTTATCATGTGTTTGATTTTATATCAATCGGAAATGAGGTTTTTGACTGTCTTTTTTTTTAATTTACCGGTGATGCTATCTGTTGATTTCATTTCGGCATTTACTAATATTTGCAATGCAACCTCAAAATTGTGATAAACTTTTTTATTGGATTTCTCATCCAGTGACTTCTCCCGCCTTGGATAAGGTGGCAGGGAGTGCCAGACTTTTACTGATTTGATCTGATTGGTTGGTTCATTGGTGATGGCCAATCAGAGCACCGAACGCGTACTCCTTACGATTATTATAAAAGTAAAACAAACTCGTACTAAGGCCTGTGAATAAAAACCACCCCGTTCCAATTCCTGCTTCAAGCCGAAGCCCCTTTCCCGCTTAGTTGCCCGCAGATGGGTTAGATTGGACGAATATGATAATTTTTAGAATGACTAGTCGTAGAGAAGTTTAAAATTAAACCTCATTATAGTGTTATATTTCCAGCAGTGGATTTATTTAATAACCACCGTTATATAAACTAGCCCGCTACTATTGATTACTGTAACACCCTGTAAGTACTTAAAAAAACACCGTTTAAAAACATTAAAAATAACTTGATTGTATACAATTGGCCCGATTTGCAAAGATAGTAGACTATCTTTCAATCAATGACAATGAATGAGTCTATTGCCATTGCATTTTTATCTACATATTAAGATATCGGAGTTATAAAACATGCGTGATATTTGATTACCCACCAGTTCCTTCTGTATCTTATTTGGGCGCAGTCAGTGTGATGATGGCTCATAAATTATTTTATTTTGTTTTAATTACCGTTTATTGGTTTGGCAGGTGAGATTTAAACTATTCATTAGTTAGGTCCTTATGTTGTTGTATACTGTAACACATCGTTGAACAAAGTATGCTTCAATTGAGCACTACTCACTAAATAACATGTAAGTCGGAAATTTTCAAAATTAGCATGCTCTATTCAAGTGTGTTTGCTAATTGACAGGCAGTCGACATTTGAACATTTTTGAGCATGCATTGGTCCTTAAGATGTTGTACTATGTTACACATGTCAATTACATGCACCAAAGCATGCTTCAGTTGAGCACTTGTCCCTTAGTTTAGTAGCATGTGTGTCGGACTCGGAATATTGCTCTACGTCTGAATGCTCATTTTAGTCATGTTTGCGAATAAGCAGGCCTTCGATTATTAAATATTTTGGAGCATGCCTAATAAAAAGCCTTTCAGCAGGCTATTTTAATAATCATCAACAGCCTATAAATGCCCACTGCTGAACAAAGCCTCATCTCACATGGAGAAAGTATAAGCATTAATCACCACGCTTGCTCAATGCGGGTTGGCGATTACAGACTTATAATTAGAAATTATCCTAAGGTTCCTCACGATGTTTTCCTTCACCGTTTATCAATGGTGTTTAGATAATCTAAGAAAGTACATATAACTCGGAAAAAGTCACATTGGTACTTGCCCTTTGTAGATTGCTCAATATTTTTTTGATTCGAGTAGTGGTAGATTTCGAACCGCCCCTTTTAAAACCTCCGCCACCACGACATATTTTAATAATACCTTTACTGATTGTAATGGCACGAAGTACCTTGCATGTAGTATTGGAAGTATCCAATGATTGAATGATATTTTTTATCAACACCATCATGAATGATTTGCCGTCTCTCCACGTTGGTGTCTATGTGCCTAAAGTCATTAAAATTAGCAAACTTTATAAGTATGACACTGTGCAATTTAAAAAAAATAATAAACACGAACTGTTTTGCAACGCATCACCATTGACTATCAAACTAACATTGAAGCCTATACAAAGAGTATAATAGTATAGGGGATGGCCTATATATCACCGGGACACCATGGCAGCGTAACCAATCACCGCCATCAACAAAATGTATGCAGCTCTATAAAGAGTTACTTACCTGATGTCAACTTGTTGCCAGGAATAATTTAACAAAGGAGTTCACTGTTCTGTATTCATATTTATGATTTTACTGTCTGATGGACAGTTTAGTTGACGTTTTAAGGATGGTTGTATGTTATTTTGTTACTTTAATTTTGTTTCGTTTTCAGCCCTGAAGCCAGTCCAGTATCTTCAAGGAAGAAACTGGTGATAGATCATGATGGTGGAGCTGATGATGCCTTCGCAGTTACACTGAGCTTGCTCAATGAGAAGTATTTCGATGGGTACGAAGTCCATTTTTATAGAACAGAGTTCTAGTCATCAGACTTCTCCCATATTCGTAATATTTAATATTATATTATTATATCATGTTTCAGTCCAGAACTAGTTGCCCTAACAACAACATTCGGAAATGTAAACCTCACGCAAACAATTATCAACAGCCATCGGTTTCTGGCACTCTGTGATAGGGAAGATGTAAGTACTGATAACAATAAGATAAGATTAATGCCACCTATTAACGAGATTTCACCCTAAACAGATTGCTATATTTGATCTTCTCGAAACATACCTATCTAAAATCCGTCTGTCTATATATATTTTTGTCATAATTAGACTAGTTGAGTCGGCTAATCAAACAGTCTGAGTTCAATTAAGATGTAAATCGTTGTCTATATCGATGATGACGATGTATGTCGTATAGTTCAGAGATATGGAAGTCTGGTAGAAATAAAAAATGGAATTCTACAAACAGACCAGTGTTTACTGTAGATATTCTCACTATTTAAAGAAGTTATCCTTTGGGCGAACCGAAAAAAAAACATTTTTTTTAATATTTTTATATTACAGATTCCAATATACTCCGGTGCTCATAAAGCTTTTGTATCAGACATGGTATCTGATAACTTTTATGGAATGGACGGGTTAGGAGACACCGGTTATGAAGCTCCATCGACAATAGAAATCGAAAAGAATCCAGCTGCCATGGCTCTCATAGAACTCTCTGAGAAATACGAAGGTATTTGACATTTTGTGGTTTTTCAGTTTACTGAATTGGTTGAATAATTTCAATATGCATCTGCACTGAAATACTTATTAATTATTTTATTTGATATTTTACTTAATTATTTTATGTGATTCTTTTAGGCGAACTGATAGTAGTAGCTATTGGTCCAGTTACCAACATAGCATTGGCTGCTCGACTGGATCCCGACTTCATAGGACGACTGTCGCAGTTATACGTGGGTGCAGGCCATGTTCACAGTAAGTACAGTTTACTTTAAGGTAGCGTTTCTTGATCAGAAAAGAAGAATAAAGATGTTTTACTGGCTAGTGTAGCGCAGAACATCTACTCACAACACGGCTAGACATGCAATCATGTATAAAGGTCTCAAGAAGCTGCTGGATGCAGTATGCTTCTTACTGACCGATCTGAAGTAGGAGGCCTCTGGCCCGGAGGGAATGTGTTGTGGCTGATATAGCGATGATGATGATGTATCGTTAAGAAACTGTTATATATACACTACAAGCCAAGTTACAAAAAAATAATTATGCTCCAATATAAAATTCTTTTAGAAAACGAGATTATGCATTTTACTTTATAGGTGAAACTCATTCTGAGCCCGAATTCAATGCTGCTATGGATCCTGAGGCGTACTACATAGTGGCAGATAGTGCTGCGGCTGACAAAGTGACAGTTGTACCATTTTCTCAAGTTTACAACACGCTGAATGTATCCAGTGTAAGTTTTCATGATGTTTTCTTCTTCAACCTTAAAGATAAAACCAATAAACTTGGACCACGGCATTGATTTATTCACAATACAGATTAAGCGACTGACAGGATATACTATTAGCGTACAACTATGAATACTTATAATACATACAAATTATATCCAAAAACTATGATGAGTCACCGCGAGGTTGACAGCAAGTATCGTACAATTTTTGATGGCGTAATTGCAATCTTGACGGAACCAAGCGAAAGCGTCGCTTCACGTCAGGTTACCCTGAAGCCGTGGTATCACTCTGTTCGAGCCGGTTCATTCGTGCCGACCGAAGCATGGCTCTCACACACTTAAACTTAATAAAATCCTCGCACGTTAATTGAACTCATAGTCTAATATCATCCTTTTAAATGCGTACCTTTGTATATTGATGTTATTGTATGTTACAGGAGTGGCGTGAAAATGTTTTGGGAAAAATTAATACACCCATCATGGAAGCACTGAACATGTTTGAACGAGTATCGTTTTCCAAAGAAAGCTCGTGGACCCAACTAGACCCGGCTGTGGCGTCCATTGCACTACACAATGAAATCGTCGATGAGTTTAAATATTCAAATAACAGCATCATTTTGCAAGGTAAACTACAATTTATGCGATTTTAACTTAAAATTATTCGCTATATACATATATCTTTCTATTGAATTTTTTTTACTAACTTTTGTACATTGATGTTTTTTTTTGTAAACGGGCAGACGGATCACCTGATGGTAAACAATCGGCGTCGCCCATGGACACCTGGAACACCAGCGGCATTAAAAGTGCGTTACCAGCCTTTTGGGGATTAGGAATTTGAGGATCGTTGGGGGTTCAGGGATTGGGGAGATTGGGGAAGGGTGGGCCTCCGGTAACCTCACTCACACGACGAAACACAACGCAAGCGTTGCTTCACGTCGGTTTCTGTGAGGCCGTGGTATCACTCCGGTCGAGCCGGCCCATTCGTGCCAAAGCATGGCTCTCCCACACTTAAACAAAAACCAAGATGCACTAAAACTTACTTAGACATTTTAATACAAACGTATTGAAATTGTCTATTGATTCTTTATGTTGTCCAATTTGTTTACTTGGTTTTTGAGTCTTAAGTATTTTGTTCTTTTCGTATTTCAGGTGAAAGTCGTGGTATCAACACCAATGACCTCTCCTCATCAGAACCTAATACAAGATTAGTTTATAAAGCGAATATTGAACATTATCAACAGTTCCTATTAGACGTGTACTCAGCTGAATTAAATCCCTAATTTTGAGTAAATAAGGTTGAAATTAACGCAATTGCAATGATGAGGAGTCCATGTTGTGAAATATTTGAAGTGATTTTTTTTTATGTTTGTTTCTTTTTTGTTACTAAGATTGAACATTATGTACTTATAATTAAGTAATAATATATTTATTTATTGACTGAATGAGATTTGTTGTATTTTTTGTATCTGTCCCTTTTTCATTTTCTGTGCAAAAAACAAAGGCACTTAATATCATTATGACAAAAAAAGAGAATGTTAAGTTGAATGTTAATTAATGAATGAATGTTAAGTGTCCATAGGTGGCGCTGATCGCTTATTATCAGTGATTCGTTTATTCCATTGTCTCCTATTCTATAAAAATATAGGGTGAACGGTCCTATCACGTTTTTTAATCTCTTAATCGCTTCCTTACTTTCTTTTGATAACATAATACCCATCGCAACCTGATTTGATATTAATTTGGTTATCAGTGCAGATTTTATCACATGTTTTACTAATAGAGTATGTCCAAAGTCAAAGTCCAAGCACTTCCTTCAAAAAACTGCGTACTTTCAGATTAAAATCCATACGTGTTCAGATGCTAACAATAACATTTGTCATTGTCTTAAAATTACCAAAGTCAATCACACTAAATACCTTCGTATTATAATCGACCAAAGACTGTCTTGGCACTTGCATATAGAACTCATAATGAGTAGGGTAAGGAAACTGATATGGACTTTCAAATCACTCCGCTACGTGGCCACGAAAGAGCTTATAAGACAGAATTATATATCCTTGGGCCAGTCGGTAATAATGTACTGTTTGCCAATTTGGGGTGGCGCAACCAAAACAAAGTTTTTAAAATTGGAAAGAGTACAGAGAGCACTTCTGAAAGTCATATACTGCAAACCAATGAGATTCTCAACCGAAAGCCTTTACATAACGTCGAATCTTCTATCTGTCCGGAAGCTATACATACTGCAAATCGCCTTGAAAAACCATAAATCCCTTCCTTTTTACCCTAGAAGAACAAAAACAAGGAGAATAAATAATGTCGCTCCAGAACTCCCAGTGAAAACTGCATTTGCTACGGGACAGTACACTAAACAATCATCCCATATATATAACATATTAAAAATAAAGAAATTAACATATATTCTATGAATTCACATAAATGTAAAAAAGCATTACTTCAATGGCTGACCAATAAGAATTACGATGAAGTTGAATCCGTCCTGTGTACGTTCACATAGATAAAAAGAAACTAAAAAAAACTACACATACATTCACAGATACACGAGCACAACACTAATACACAGATTAAACATTCATAACATAACATAACAACACACATTCCTTCATACATTACATACACTCAGTGTGCGAACTAATGTATTCTAATTTCACATTACTTATTCCCTTTAATTTTCAGTTTATAATTTGTTTAATTCTAAATTTCTTTCTTTTTATTTATTTTTATAAACTTATGTTTAGCTGATGTCCTTGGTATAGTAGGATCGCCTACCACAAGCATACTCTTGCTTAACAGGGTTTTTCCTAATATTTTGTTGGTATGTACATAATATTTGATGAAATAAATTATTATTATTATTAAATTTGAAATTTTCAACTAGACACAGCATGTTTTGCACACAATGTTAGAATATTTTTTATAAAAAACTAATAACAAACAAAAAATACAGAGCTAGTCAAAACTAAAATGCAAAAAAATAACTATTATTAGTACTGATAGATTACCCACCCCCTGATAGGTTAGAAGTCGGCGCCATAAGGTCTATACATAATTATTCATTAAAACCTTAGTACCTTAATACCTTAAAACCTTAAGAACTAACTAGAGTACCTACTTCGAATAATTTTATACAATTTTACAATACATACATTACATACAATTTTCGAAAGTTCCCCTCGGTTTCCCTAGGATCCTATCATCAGATCCTGACCTCATGAAAATAGGACTATATCGGGAGTATACCCTTTCATACAAAACTAACATTTTGGGAATCGGTTCACAAATGGCGGAGTAATGCGTGAACAAACAAAAAAAAACAATCAGCCGAACATAGTACCTCCTCCTTTTTTGAAATCGGTAAAAAGGAAAGTTATTTTTGTCGTATAGTTGTAGATCCAAGAAAATATTTTGACACCCAGGCGTCATTGGATGTGAAATTGTATGGACAATTGTATTACAGGAAAAATCCTACAATGGGGTAACTACTTTTTATTAAAAAAACCGCCTTCAAAAACTAAAGACAAACGAAAAGTAAACACTAATAACTATTAATACCTAATATTGGTCATACGTACTTATAGCTTACACACCCACTGATAGGTTAGAAGTCGGTGACACAGTTTTAAACAAAATTATTCATTAATACTTTAATAGATACCTAATTTTATTAAGCTGTTTACTGTTATAATTTTAGTATGGATTATATTATCAGCTGTGACCATTTACTACTATAAATTTTTTTATGGGTTTGTGGCACCGACTTCTAACCTATCAGTGGTTGTGTAAGTTATAAGTACGTATGACCAATAACAGTTATTTATTTAGTTTACACTTTTCGTTTGTCTTAAGTTTTTGAAGGCGGTTTTTTAAAGTTTCTTAATTTAATTTTATTCTATTTCGTTTAGTACTTTGATATATTATATTTTACACAACCCACATGGATGTAAAGTTGTCATCAATACAAATTATTTAAGCTCAAACACCGGGTGGCTACTCTTAACCATTGAGGAGTTCCCTCAGCTATCATACTATTTCATCATTGGACCTTTAATGACCATCACCCCCCCCCCCCTATCTAGTTGTAAAGTCCTCATCACTACAAATTATCAAACCCAAACACAAGGTAGCTACTGGTAACCGCCGAGGAGTTCCCTCAACTTTCGTAATACTTCATCATCAGACCCTTCATGACAATTACATCCCACCTAGGTGTAAAGTCCTCATCAATACAAATTAATCAAACACGAGGTAGCTACTGTTAACCGTTGAGGAGTTCCCTCGACTGGCCCTCGGCTCCATCATCATAGATCGACTGCAGACCTTTATCAAATTGTAGTAGTTTTGAATACATAACATAACATCACGCCTTTTATCCCCGTAGGGGTGGCAGAGGTGCACACAGAAGTAACACCCACTTTTCACTATTTATGTTATGAGTCCTATGTAATAGGGGATGAGCCTAGTGGTTTTGAATACTTAATTAAAAAAATAACAAGTGTACTAGTCGCCCCTACAATTTAAGAAAAGTTCCCCTCGGTTTCCCTGGTTTTCCATCATCAGATCCTGATTTCCTTATCATGGGACCATTCTGGGACTATTTCCTTTCCAACAAAAAAATAATTATCAAAATCAGTTTTGATAATTCAATTCGATGGTTGCAAGGAAGAAAATGATCAGAGAAAAGATGGAAAGATTGTAAAAGTGAGGATATGAAAGAAGATCTCTAATAGGAGTGCATTTGACAGAACGAAAGAAGAGAACATTATTTCCGACCCTAGATATCTTGAGATAAGGACGGAAAGTTATTGATAATAACAAATACATAAATAAATTTAAGTTTAGGAAAGCCATGCTTCGGCATGAATGGCCGGCTCAACCGGAGCTATACGATATGCGATGATGAGGCCATCCTCACAGAAAACCAACGTGAAACAACGATTGCCTTGTGTTTTTTCATGTGAGTGAAGTTACCCAAGGCTTACTAACCCTCCCCAAGTTACTCAATCCCTAAAAACTTTTGAAAAATTAGGCCTCACTACGGATTTCTCTTTCCAGAAGTTTTTTTTTAGAACCACCGTAAAAAGCCTATTACCATTGATTACTATAACACTCCGTGAGTTTATTTATATTGTATTTAAAAAAAACCTTGATGATAGCATACAATTGACCCGATATGCAAATGAAGTCGGTATAAAAAGTAGAACACTTGCATTTAATTAAAATGATAGGAAAATGTTATTATTAGAACAAATTGACATTGAATATTTTCTATATATTAAGATATATGTTTTATAAAACATGAATGATGTTTGATTATCCACCAGTTCCTTCCGGATCTTATTTGGGCGCAGTCCGTGTGATGATGGTTCATAAATTATTTTGTTTTGTTTTGGTTACCGTTTGTTTGTTTGGCAGGTGAGATTTAAATTATTTATTAGTTTGATCCTTAAGTTGTTGTATACTGTAACACAACATTACGCACAAAGGCGTGCTTCAATTGAGCACTAGTCACTAAATAAGATGTGTGTCGGAATGTTGTTCAAAATTACCATGCTCATTTCAGGCGTGTTTGCAAATTGACAGGCGGTCGCCTTTTGAACATTTTTGAGCATGCTCAATACAACGTGCTTGACTTTGGACATGTGAAACAAGTGAAACAAGTGATGCATGACTTACTTGACTTAATTTCCTGTATCCCCGAGATGCGGCAGAGGGCATCCACTGAAGTTCTCCATCGCGATTTATCCTGAGCTTCACGCTTAACCTCACTACACGTCATACCGATGCTCGTCGCTTCGGCCATTACGGTGCGACGCCAGGTTTGCCGAGGGCGACCACGCTTTTTTCCCCTTGGGGATTCCAATCCAAGGCTTGCTTGGGTATGTGGTCAGGAGGACCCCTTCGGAGCATGTGCCCTATCCCTACTTGCGGAGCTTGATCTGGCGGTCGATTGGGCTTTCGTGGCATTTCTCCAAAAGCTATACGTTCTAGATTGTCTCGGGCCAGTAAATTCCGACAATGTGACGTAGGCATTGGCTAACAAAGACTTGAAGTTGACGTCTTTACCTTTCGTCACTCATAGAGCAGAACGGATTTTACATTGGACCTAAAGACTTTCAGTTTAATCCTTCGGGACAGTTTCCGTGACTGCAACACAGGTCTCAGCTGCGCGAAAGTAGCACAGTCTTTGGCGATCCTTGTAGTGGAATGTCCTCTTCGGTATCTCCAGTCTCTGACACACATTTTAGAGCATAATTATGTAATAAATAATACCTTTACTGATTCCAATGGCACGAAGTGTCTCGAATGTAGTATTGAAAGTATCCAATGATTGATTGGATGTGAAAATTAGTTAACCTATACAAGTTGAAGGTTGACGATTTCTTTCTCTATCATTGATTTATTAATACTGAGTTAAATTACTTATTTGGTGACTATTTCTAATTGTTATTACGAATGCACGACGCGACATAGTTACCGCACCAGCTAGTATAGCAACATAGTTAACCCACCACTATATTCATATATAGCGTATATTTTTTTTTTAATAAAAACGTTGCCCCACATTAGGATATTCTCCTGTGTCGTGGGTGCGTTTACAAACATACAAGTTCACATACACAATGACATCCAGACCCGAAACAACAATTTGTGGATCACACAAAGTGTTGTTCCGTGCGGGAATCGAACCCGCGACACGTTGCACGGCAGCCGGTTATATATATAGTTTACTAGCGACCCGCCCCGGCTTCGCACGGGTGCAATACGGGTGCAAACGGACTCGAAAGAACTTGAGTGTTTAAAATGTTAAGTGTATTAGTGTAGTTAAAAAGTGAAAATGGACACCAATATATAGAACTAGTAGTAGATAAGTTAAACATAATTTTAATAAGGGCCCAACGTATATTAGGTATTTTAGCTATTTCACATAATTTTAATCATTTTATTTATAACTAGCGACCCGCCCCGGCTTCGCACGGGTGCAATATGTATATACATACAAACCTTCCTTAAGAATCATTCTATCTATTAAAAAAACCGCATCAAAATCCGTTGCGTAGTTTTAAAGATCTAAGCATACATACGGACATACAGCGAAAGCGACTTTGTTTTATACTATGTCTTGAAGACTATACACAATCTTTATAAATATTATTATGTCTCTGTGTCCGATTTGTTTTTAAAAATACACACAAGGGTGGCATATTATCCAACTAACATTTAGGGCTATATTTCATATGGCAGTCAGTCACCGCGAAACAGTGGAACAAATGAGTTCACTGTTCTGCATTCATACAAATTTATGATTTTACGTACTGTTTGATGGACAGTTTAGTTGACGTTTTAAGGATGGTTGTATGTTATTTTGTTACTTTAATTTTGTTTCATTTTCAGCCCTGAAGCTAGTACAGTAGCTTCAAGGAAGAAGCTGGTGATAGATCATGATGGTGGAGCTGATGATGCCTTCGCAGTTACACTGAGCTTGCTCAATGAGAAGCATTTCAATGGGTAAGAAGTCCATTTTATAGAACAGAGTTCTTGTTGTCGTTTCTTTTAATCCAGGTTTCTCCCGTATTCGAAATATTAAATATAATATTCGTATTTGCATACTTCTCATAATATCGTTATATCATACTAACTACTTCCGCGCGGTTTCACACGGTCTGCTCAGCTCCTATTGGTCGTAGCGTGATATTTTATAGCCTATAGCCATCCTCGATAAATGCAACCAATGCGATGCAATGCGATAAATCTAACACAAAAAGAATTATTTAAATCAGACTTGTAGTTACGGAGATTAGCGCGTTCAATCAAACAAACAAAAAACAAACTCTTCCGCTTTATATAATAGTATAAGATTACTAGCGACCCGCTTTGGCTTCGCACGGGTGCAATATGCATTTATTATACATATAAACCTTCCTTAAGAATCAATCTATCTATTAAAAAGCCGCATCAAAATCCGTTCCGTAGTTTTAAACATCTAAGCATACATAAGGACAGACAGACGGCGGATAGCGACTTTGTTTTATACTATGCAGTGATATCTTATTTCAGTCCAGAACTGGTTGCCTTGACAACAACATTCGGAAATGTAAACCTCACGCAAGCAATTATCAACAGCCATCGGTTTCTGGCACTCTGTGATAGGGAAGATGTAAGTACTGATAACAATAAGATAAGATTAATGCCACCTATTAACGCGTTTTCACCTTAAACAGATTGATATATTTGATCATCTCTAAACATATGTAGGTATCTAAAATCAGTCTTTCTATAAATCTTTTTATACCTAACACTATTGTCCAATAATTAAGTGAAAAATATGGGGATTACCTCGCTCCGCCGCTATGGCTAATTATATGGGCTTGTGCCGCCATCTTAGAAAAATGGAGCGGCGAACATATGTAGGTACAACGATGCAAAATGGAAATCAAAAAGAGCACACTCAACAAAATTGCCAATTTTCAAAGCTCCCGAAAAACATTCCAGGTGCAATTATCAAATTATTGAATTACTAGTCAGATTGGAATCCAACACTCTTTGTATAATTCTAATAAAAGTTCTAAAGAATAGGTCAGAAATCGTTGATGATGTTTATGATGGCGATATATCGTACAGTTTAAACAGATGGTCAGTCGGTCGGAGGGTTGGTTGAAATAAAAAATGGTATTCTAAAAAGATACCAGTCTTTACTGTAGAGATTCTTTTGTGGCTACATATGACACATGTCATCACATGTCAACGGATGACGTCATAAAAATCCTACATCGCACATGCGAAGTTTACATTCGATTTAACATTGATAGAAAATCCCAACGAACAACTGGCGGGCAGAAAGCCCGCCGGGCACGATCACCTCGCCTGGTCGGAGGATCCTCCTTTTCCGATCTTAGGGAACTATACTCTCTGTTCCCTAAAGCGGTGACCTCGACGAGATTATTAAGTTTTTTTTAGACAGATCGTAAAAAATGGATACAATTTAATTTTTTTTTTATTTATATTACAGATACCAATATACTCAGGTGCTCTTAAGTCTTTTGTATCACACATGGTATCTGAACACTTTTACGGAATGGACGGGTTAGGAGACACCGGCTATGAAGCTCCATCAACAATAAAAATAGAAAAGAATCCAGCTGCCGTGGCTCTCATAGAACTTTCAAAGAAATACGAAGGTATTTCATATTTTGTGGTTTTTCTATTTACTGAATTGTGATTTTAACAGTACGTGGGTACATAAATAACTATTATTTTGATATTCTTTTATATCATCGCATGCATCTTATATTAATTATTTAATTATTTTTTTGTTCCTAATTATTTTAGGAGAACTGATAGTAGTAGCTATTGGCCCAGTCACTAACATAGCATTGGCTGTGCGACTGGACCCCGACTTCATAGGACGACTGTCGCAGTTATACGTGGGCGCAGGCCATATTTACAGTAAGTACAATTAACTTGTGGTGTCGAGGTGGCTCGTAGGTTTAAGATGCTGATTTCTCATGCAAGAGGATGCGGGTCGAAATCTACGAACGGCAAGTACCAATGTGACTTTTCCGAGTTATTTGTACTTTCTAAGTATGCTATTTTAGACACCACTGACAAACGGTGAAAGAAAACAACGTGAGCAAACCTGGACTTATAATTTGAACTAACCCGTATCGAGCAAGCGTGGTGAATAATGCTCAGAAAAGTAGAATAAAGATCTATTACTGGCAAGCGCAGCGCAAGATCCCATGAAAGTCCACTTACAACATGGCTAGACAGGCTAAGATGTACAAAGGTCGCAAGTATTTGCTGGATGCAGGATGCTGCTTACTGACCGATCTGGAAGATATTGTAAAAGGTCTGTGACCCACAGTGAACGTGTTGTGGCTGATATGACAATGATGATAATGATAAATCATTTGAAAACTGTTATTCATTAACTATACGCTAAATAATAAAAAATCGGGCCTGAGGACGGCGAGCACGGGTGATTCGCCGCTTGACCAGAACCAGGATTTTTAGTCAGTAAGAGTCTGATACTCACTCTCGCCTTACCCAGGCCATTGTCTGGCTCATGAGATGATTTCCCCTCCTCAAAAAAAAAAAGAAATAAAAAAATGATAAAAAATAATTATGCTTAAAAATAAAATGTATTTGGAAAATGAGACATTGTATTTTATTTTACAGGTAAAACTCATTCTGAATCCGAATTCAATGCTGCCATGGACCCTGAAGCGTACTACATCATGGCAGATAGTGCTACGGTTAAAAAAGTGACAGTTTTACCATTTTCTCAAGTTTACAGCTCTCTAAATATCTCTAAAGTAAGTTTTCATCATTTTTTCTTCTTCAGTCTTAAAGATATCCGACCATAATTCTTCGACCATTGTATTGATTTATTCACACTGCAGATTAAGCCAACGATACGTGTTATACTGTGGCCGTAAAATTATGAGTACTTAAAAAACATAGAAATTAACCGCAAGGTTGACAGCTAACATCAAAATGTTACATCAAAAGTCGACAATGAAGTACCTGGGACTTGTCCTCGACAGTCGGAGTCGGAGTCGTGGAGCATTTCCGACGCTTGGCTCTTAAGTTGAAGGAAGACGAAAGACGAAAGAAGAAAGGACGGGGGCGGCGCTTCAACGCCTCCTACCCAACCTCGGGGGGCCAAACGCCTCCTGCCGGAGGTTATACGCCGGGGTCGTGCGGTCCATGGCCCTCTTCGGCCGAGCCGCGGAGGACTTAATGGGTTACCGGGGCTCCGGGTCGAAGTGCATGTCTGACATTCCCTCCCGCTTCGCCTAGGCGGGGGAAGCAGTTCGATGATTTTCCTCCCTTAAAAAAAAGCAACAAAAAATGTCAAAATGTTTAATGGTGTTACTGCGATCCTTTTGACACCTACTCAGCATAAAAATTATGGCATGAATGTTTTAAACATTTATTATAAGGTACCATTATTTATAGGCCACAGCATTTCTATTTATTATGGGTTAAGCAGATTACCTGATGGTAAGCAATTGGGATTATGAATTTGAGGATTGTTGGAAATTCGGGGATTGGAGAGATTGCGGAAGTGGGAAAGAGGTAATTAACCCCCCGGTCACCACATTTATACGACGGAACACAATGCAAGCGTCGTTTCACGTCAGTTTTCTCTGAGGTCGTGGTATCACTCCGTCCGAGCCGATTCATTCGTGCCGAAGCGTGGCTCTTACACACTGAAACTTAAATAAAATCCTCGTATTACATATTATTGAACGCGTCGTCTGTTACCATCCTTTTAAATGTGTACATTGATGTTATTGTATGTTACAGGAGTGGCGTAAAAATATTTTGGGAAAAATTGATACACCCATCATGGAGGCTCTAAATATGTTTGAACGAATATCGTTTTCAAAAGAAAGTTCGTGGATCGAACTAGACCCGGCTGTGGCGTCCATTGCATTACACAATGAAATCGTCAATGAGTTCAAAGATTCTAATAACAGCATTATTTTACAAGGTAAACTACAATTAATTTGATTTTAAGTTTTTAAAAATTTACCTATTTTTTAGCTTGCCCAGTTTGTTCGATTGATTTGTAAGTTTTTAGTATGTTTTTCTTTTACTATTTCAGGTGAAAGTCGTGGTATCAACACAAATGACTTCTCCTCATCAGAACCTAATACAAGACTAGTTTACAAAGCAAATATTGAATACTATCAAAAGTTCCTGTTAGACGTGTATTCGGCTGAATTGAATCCTTAATTTTAAGCAAATAAGGTTGCAATTAAGCGTGCAGCGACGAGGAATTAATGTTTTGAAGAATTTGACGTGATTTTCTTATTAGCTTATACTCAAAAATGTTTGTTTGTCATGTTATTGTAGAGGTAAAGATAGTGTGATATACCTATTGGACACAATGTACTTATAATTAAATAATAATATATTTATTTATTAACTGAATAAGAGTCGTTTTATTAATTGCATCTGTCTCTAGCTTGGGAGAGAAAGCGTGATGTTATATTTACAAAATAAAATTACATTATTACACTTATTTCTTATTTAAACATTATAAACTGGAACTCGTCCAGTGATATGATAAATCTCCCAATCAATTTCAATCATGGCGGCCAGTCTAAATAACTATACCTCTTATAACACACTACGCAGGAGATATTATAGCATATAAATTTGTGCGCAAACACAAAGGTATTCTCAGTTGACTGCACGGTTGGTGCGGTGGCTGGGCAACCGGCTGATGTGCAACGTGTCGCGGGTTCGATTCCCGCACGGAACAACACTTTGTGTGACCCATAAATTGTTGTTTCGGGTCTGAGTGTCATGTGTATGTGAACTTGTATGTTTGTTAACGCACCTGTTACATGTATGAACATCACTACTTAGTAAGTAGTCGCCCCCTCACTATAATGTGTTATATAAGGTAGAACACTTTTCATTAACGCGGCTGTCTACCTGTCATAGTCTAAGTATTGTTAAATTGTTAAAATAAACGTTGCCCCACATTAGGATTTTCTCCTGTGTCGTGGGTGCGTTTACAAACATACAAGTTCACATACACAATGACACCCAGACCCGAAACAACAATTTTTGGATCACACAAAGTGTTGTTCCGTGCGGGAATCGAACCCGCGACACGTTGCACGGCAGCCGGTTGCCCAGCCACCGCACCAACCGTGCCGTAAGTGTGTGTACACGTCGTGCGCTCAGCACATTATTGTAATAAATCCGTCTACAATTTATTAATCAACCAACATAACAGCACCCACGACACAGAAGAAAATCCTAGTGTGGGGCAACGTTTAATTAAGAAAAAAAAATGAAGTCGGTTAAAAAAGTTCCCTCACAATCTGAATCCGAAGGGACGGGAGCCCCACTCATCCGGTGAGAGATCAGGCACAGGACCAACAGTTTTCCGTTCTTATTGAGGTACGGAAGTGCCACACCTTGGAACTTCCTGACTCCGAGCTAATTATAGTAATTTTATTCAGATAATGCCATCATCACTTTTAGGCCGGCACGGGAGTAGAATGCGCGACACAAAGCACAGCAGCTAGTCATCTAACTAGTATGCCAACCCTGCAGTCGTGACGTTAAAAGAATCACAAGTTTGCAAGCCTAAGAGGCTTCATCATCATCATCAACGGCCTATAAACGGCCCACTGCTGAGCAAAGCCTCTTCTCACACGGAGAAGGTTTGAGCATTAATCACCACGCTTGCTCAATGCGGCTGGCTGCACAATGTTGGCGATTACAAACTGGTTTCCTCACGATGTTTTCCTTCACCGTTTGTCAATGGTGTCTAAATAATCTTTGAAAGTACATATAACTCTGAAAAAGTCACATTGTTACTTGCCGTTGGTAGGTTTCGAACCAGCACTCTCATGCATGAGAAGCGGGCGTCTTAAACCTCCGGGCCACCACGACGAGCCTAAGAGGCTTACGTAATCCAATATAGTGTATACCTTATTAATTTTTGAATCCAAGAAAAATACCGGTGACTATCATGAAGAAATGAACTCAAAGTGTTTCGAGGACTGGCTTAAAACTATTTTGCCAAATTGAAGGGCAAATGCGGTGCTGGTACTATATAACGCACCGTATCATTCTAGAAAAGAGAGCGTATCCCCACTTCAAACTGGCGGAAAGATGATATAATTCAATGGTTGAATGAAAAAAATATTCAATTTCAACCTAGGATGATAAAAGCGTACGAAATACATGGCGAAACACAATGCAAACGTTGTTTCACTCCGGTTTTCTATGTGGCCGTGGTTTAGCCAACCCATTTGTGCCAAAGCATGGGTCTCACACCTAAACTGTGACAAAGATGCAGAAACCTGTGACAAATCATGTTATTAGTATTTTTATATAAACATTCCTTGACTTATGACCAATTACTCTATTTATTTCTATCGAATTAGTTTCGCTATAAAAGTATTTACTCGTTATATAGTGACTGGTCGGACTCATATTTTTATAACAATAAAAAAATTATACAATCTTTTTTTATTTTGTTGTGGGTAAAATTTCGCATTGGACATAACTGGTTGTGCATGATATGTATGTATGTCTGTCTCTGTTCAATTTTAGCCGTCGTATTGTTCTTGTGACTTAGGTATGTGAGAGTGATGGTAACTATCTTAAGCGCCCTACGAGTGCCCACTGCTTAGCGGGACCTCTTCTCAGACGGAAAATATTTTTGTTATTAATATCACCACGCTTACTCAAGGCGGATTGCTGATTTCAAACTTATAATTACAAATTGTAAATCAAGGTTCTTTACGATGATTTCCTTCATCATATGTCACTGGTGTCTAAATTAATCTTAAAAACACTTAAAATCAATCACGCCTTTTATTTCCGAAGGGGTAGGCAGAGGTGCACATTATGCCACTACAATATAGCTCTCACTTTTCACTATTTGTATTATGAGTCCTATGTAATAGGGGGTGAGCCTATTGCAATATACCGGGCATAATACCAGACGCCGTGCTGCTACTGAGATTTTTTTTAAAAACCCACTAATACTTTGCCCTACCCATGAATCAAACCCGATAGCCCTTGCCCGACAGTAGCACTTGCGACCACTCGGGCAACGAGGCAGTCTTAGAAAGTACATATCTATAACTCGAAGAATCTCACATTGGTATTTGCGGGCGTTTGAAACCTCCAGGCAACCACGACATTTGATATTATGTTAGTTTCTACTGGGCTAGTCAGACGAGCGATGGGCAGAACTCACTACTGAGTGGAGCCCACTCAACGTCAATAGACATCGCGGTAGGCCCAGAAGGAGATGGTGGAATGAACTTGACGCGTATGAAAAGGATTGGCCACAGAAAGCTTTAAGAAGAGACGAGTGGGGGGCGTGCGGGCGTGTGTGGGGCGACCATAGCTAAAAATAAAAATAAAATAAAGTTAATGTTTCGAAGCTTCGTATGAACTTTAATTATTTATTTATCTTATTTACCTAGATGAAGATAGAAAAATATTTAGCTCGAGGCTAAAGCAAACAGACAATGATTTTTTATCTATATATTAAGATTCATGTTTTTATAAAACATCATTGATGTCAGATTTTATACCAGTTCTTCATTATGGCGCATAAAATATTGTATTTTGTTCTATTTGTCGTTAATTTGTTTGGCAGGTGAGTTCACAATTTTGCTTTTATTAATATTGTTTTCTCTGAATAACTAAGTTTGTAGTTAAACTAATTTCAATAGGGTAGATGACTAATGACTAATTGTTATTTTAATGTCCGTTTGGTAGATTATTTTAAATCATTAGACATGTATTTTTTATTTTCTTACACAAACGAATACTTTCAACGATATATTGATTTAAAATATCGCGTGACGTCACTACTATGTATATTTTATACGTAGAAATGACGTTTTAGCCCCCACTCCTAAACTTTGATTCGTTTTATCTAAGTATTGTTTTATTAAACGACAGAATAAAAAAATTCGTGTCTAATTTTTTTTAATTACCTAACTTACGGACTAATTAGATTTTTAATTTTCATACTCCGTCATCATCCCAATTAGATTTTTAATTTTCATACCCTGTCCTCATCCCGATTGCAATTTCTATTGTAAGTTCGAATTGACACTTACAGAATAGCCCCATTTCATTTTAGACTGGAAACATGTAATCTCTAAGCAGCCTTCTTAAAAATATTGCAAGCCTGTCAAACAGGGAATGTGTGTCCTTCTTTATATAAAAACTATCGTGCGATATATGAAATTAACGATTATTGAAAAAAAGGCGCGGCGATGACGTCATTCAGTTGGCTGCGCGTCATCGCCGCGCCGCGTACAGCTGTCCACTTCCCATGAATAAGAGTCCCGTTATAACTTGTAATTAGTAGAGGTTTCCTCAATTGCTTTACGTGAGTATGCTGTTTATTTCTATTACGATAGATGTGCTGTTTAATTATTAATATAGATGAGAAACGAGTTAATAATGTCAGGTGTGATAACGTATACTATGTACGGAAGAAGATTATTTGTTTCTCCATCGCTACATCTCAAAGTTTGTCCACCTTTTAACTGTGAGAGAGCCATGCTTCGGCACGAATGGGGCGACTCGACCGGAGTGATACCACGGCCTTACAGAAAACCGATGTAACATAACGATTGCGTTGTGTTTCGTCTTGTGAGTGAGGTTCCCGGAGGCCCAATTACTCCCCCAGTCTCTCCAATTTCCAAATCCCCAACAATTCCCAGTTCCCAAAAGGTTGGTAACGCACTTGAACGCCTCTGGTGTTTCGGGTGTCCATGGGCGGCGCAGATTGCTTACGATTAGGCTATCCTATAAAAAATATATTTTTTTTTTAATTCTTAATTCATTTAACATAACCTAACATTAAGCCTCTTATCTCCGAAGGGGTAAGGGTAGAGGTACATTACGGCACTTAATACCACTGTACAATATAACACCCACTTTTCACTATTTATGTTATGAATCCCATGTAATAGGGGGTGAATCTATTGCCATATACCGGCCGCAATTCCAAACTCCGTGCTAACAATTTTTTTAAAACTCAGTTACCCTTTGCTCGCCCAACGAGGCAGTCTATTCATTTAATTTACCTAAATAGAGATAGGGACACATTTAGCTCAATGCTAAAACAAACAGACGTTGAATTTTTATCTATATATTAAGATTCATGGTTTTATAAAACATGAGTGACGTTAGATTATATACCAGTTGTGTTATGTTGTTCGGCTACAGTTCGTGTAATTATGGCTCGTAAAATATTATGTTTTGTATTATTTACTGTTTGCTGGATTACCAGGTAACGTACACAATTTTGTTATTGTAAAGATTATCTTACTTATGTAATAAAAAGGTTTATTTTTTGTTTCTTGGAAACTTATTCTTTTAGAAAAAAACAAAAAATACTTACTATACTTTTGAATGGGTATGTTATTTTATTTTTTTTACCCAAAGGTTTAGGCACAGGTGCACATTACGGCAATTAATGCCACTGTACAATGTCACATCCACTTTTCACAGATATAATATATATAAATGGTGTTTAGGTACGATCTATGTATTTTTGTAAAAAGGTGCACTCAAGAGAACTTGGTATTGTGGTAGAAAAAACGAGAACCAAAATTACGTCTAAATAAAAGTAATACTGCAATGTTGTGCACGATACAGTTCCCCTCTTTTAGTGTTCTGCACGAATATAGCTTCAAATGAATTAGTAGGTAGTTAGTTGTTCAATGAATCGAATCATTTAACGATAGCAATGTCAGCGAACGAGTAGTAAATATCTACATAACAATATAAAGAATATTGAGCAGTGTCTAAAAATACTTTAAGAAAATAAATGAGGTCTCAATAAAATCAACCAAGACATCGTATAACATGTCGATAAGACTATAAATAGAAAAATTATTTGTAGGAATAAAAGGTAAATAACAGAAAGACTTCTACGTATATTAATTGACAAACACAATTTACTATTTCCTTAAAATTTTATTGATAGACTATTAAGGTTACCTAAATTAGGTAATTGCCCAACCCAACTACGTAAATGTTATATTTGCATATGTAAAGAAGCATTAAATACGATATCACCTTATCTTATTTTTATTTACTTCCTGAAACATTATTATTCATTTTAGCTTTAGAAGAAGGCTTTTGTTCCGTGGTCTTGTGGTTGTGTCTGTGATGTACCTACTCCAATTGTTAATTGTATAAATATGTTTTCAGTCCTGAAGCCAGTCCACTATGTTCAAAGAAGAAGCTGGTGATAGATCAAGATGGTGGAGCGGATGATGCTTTTGCCATTACAATCAGCTTGCTCAATGAGAAATATTTTAAAGGGTAAGACAATACTATTTTTTAATAGTAGACATATTTATATTCTTGTGTCTTTATGTACTTTTATCACTGTGAATAAGAACCATCTATGAAATCATAAAGTTTATTAGATACTAGCTACTTCCGCGCGGTTTCACACGCTCTGCTCGGCTCCTATTGGTCGTAGCGTGATGTTTTATAATCTATAGTCATCCTCGATGAATGCGCTATCCAACACAAAAATAATAAGTCAAATCAGACTTGTAGTTACGGAGATTAGCGCGTTCAAACAAACAAAAAAAACAAACTCTTCCGTTTTATAATAATAGTATAAGATATGGCAAAATATTTCGGTATAATTCGATCCAGTCGTTTTTGAGTTCTGCGCGTAGCAACACAGGCATATATTATGACTCACTTTTATTTATATAGAAGTAGATAAAGGTTGCCGACCGAGTTTGACCTTGAAATAATTTAACGGCTTATATTTAACTTATCATCTGATTTAGTAACATATAACACGCGAAAATAGTAAATGATCACGAGAATTGAAACTCCATTTGAATTTAAAACTATGGCCAAAATTCGTTCATCTTGCTGTTCTATTAAAGCAAATGATTTTTAAATAAAGTTGATCCAAAAATAGTAAATGACTGCCAAAATTAAAATCGCTGTATAATTTGAAATAGACTAAGGCGACGGAGCCGAGCTCCGCGATGCTTCTTTTCCTGACCACAGGGTGGTTTGAAGTAACCTAAAGAACGGCATGACGGTAGCTATAGTTGTCATTTTAAACTATCCGCCTATCATGTTGGGATCTTTGACGAGTGGCTTGAGAGACGCTACGGCGTCCTCACCTACCGCCTGACGCAGGTCCTCACTGGACATGTAGTTTCGGGAGGTACCTGTGTCTGATGGGGTGGGAGGAAACGCCCGGGTGTCACCACAGCGAGGTCCGCCCTGAGGACAAGGTGGAACACACAGTAGCGGATTGCCCTGCGTGGGCTGGGCACCACCGTGCCCTCAGGGACGTGATCTCCCGTGACCGTGACCTTTCGCGTCCGGCCCTAGTGCGGGTCATCACCGCGTCACCCATGCAGGAGAAATCATTCGGTGATTTCCCTCCTTAAAAAAACATATTAGGATATACATTTTTGGTAAGCCAAGACGGTTATTCATGCCCCTGGGACATTAGCATTCCGGTGTTTTTATGGTTGTATCTCCTGTAGATCTTGGCTTACAGGAGGTGCACTTACAGTTTCGGGAGGTTGCGGCGGGACTGCCCCAATTAAATAAAAATAACATTGGTTACAGAACTTATGGTATCAAAGTATTTTCTGGTCGCCATAATATTAAATCACTATTTTAACTATACATACATTAAATGCTTGTTAGAATAATATACCGTAATATTACAACGCGCCTTTTATCGCAAAATTGTATTTAGTTTTACACGTCTTCGCATGCTTATTAGTGTTTCCCTACTATATTATACATCATTGTGTTATGCATAATTATAAACATTCCAGTTGAATTACCCGCTCTGTAACGAAACTGCATCAAAATCTGTTCCGTAATTTTAAAGATCTAAGCATACATAGGACCAGACAAAAAAGCGAATTTGCCTTGTATAGTGCAGTGATGAAGTGATTTTGAGCCCAATGTAAAAAAAATCTTTAAATCATTGGTTCCCAAAATTATCTGGACTACAACCTATCTAAATCAAGTTATCAGAAAGTCAGGATCCATTTTTTGAAACTGCACCGCTACCAACGTGAAAAATAATATACAGAACGGTTGGTTAGTGTGTTATTCTACAGACAAGGCTTACTCAAAATTCGCTTACGACTCACCAATAGGTTATGTGAGCCACAGTTTGGGTAACTTTGGCCTAAATAATATTTTGCGATATGGCACGAATGAGCCAGCTTGTCTAGAGTAAAACCTACGATAGAGCGTGAAACAGCGCTTGCTGATATTTTACTACGTGACAGCGATTAACGGACCATTTTTAACTCCTATGGTATTGGAGGTGTCCACAGACTGCGCTGATCAAAGTGATCACTTACTTTCAGGTGATGTTTATTTCTCTTTTGCCCACTATCTCATTAATCTATACAATGTTATTGTAAATCAATATAAAAAGGACATTTTAGGCCTTGAATAATTTATTTATTTATCTAGGTTATCTAAACATATCTAGTCTAAGTCTAGAATAGACGTATCTAATGTGTCCTTTGTTATCTTCGATATACGGCATTGAACCAACGCATGAATCTATAATAATTAACAACAACATGAACAGTCTTTGACAGTTCATGCTAGTCCATGGTTCTCCTCCACATTTAAGAGGGTTTGCCACAATTTTCATGCTTTCTTTTAAGGGGGGAAAATCATCGAATGACTGCTCCCGCCTGGGTGAGGCGGAAGGGAGTGTCAGACTCTTACTGACTAAAAACCACCCCGTTCCTTCTCCTGCACGTCGAGCCGGAGCCCCGGTTACCCGTTAGGTTCTCCGCGACTCCGAATCGGCATCGGCCCTATTGGGCCCCATCTGTGGTGGTCTGATGGCTCTTTGAGGCGCGCGCGGAACGCGACGCGCCGCACGCTCGGGTCTGTTTCTGGTCGGACGGTGAGCTACCCATGCTCGCCGTCCGCAGGCCCGCGCTTACGGTGGCCGGAGATCGTAGCTGGAGGGCGCCCTACACTACGTTTGCCTCTATCATGGTTAGCTATAAAAATCTTTATACCTTTATATTTCTTTGAAAGTTCTATAAGTGCAACAGCGGAACAGCGCTCGGGTCGGTTTCTGGTCGGAAGGGGAGCCACCCATGCTCGCCGTTATGCTTTCATGCTATTTTCATGCTAAGACCAGTTGGTAATCATAATCCCTCTAGTCCGTTTCACCATCGTACTGTCAGACGTACGGCCGGACGCCATCTTTATATGGTGGACATTCTACCCATTTGCATGAAGCGATTTGCGTCAAGTTTGCTTGTGCAAGCTAAGGAATAGAATTCGTTGCCGGAATCTGTTTCCCGAAAAATATAACTTGGGTGTCTCCAACTCCTGGCTCAACGGGTTGCTCATAGGTATGCGTGCTCCATCGTCGACCACATGATTGGTTACCACCAGGTGAGATGGTGACCAAACGTTAACCTATCAAGTATAAAAAAATGCAGTTTAACTGGTTTTGGTTTATTGGAACGCGTTGCTACTTACCCGGATTCTGTCAAAACATGTAGTCTTTTAAGTTCGTTAGTCCTTTACACCAGCAGAAAGAGATGGCAAATGTACTTATTTTCCCTTCTTCCACAGCCTTTAAGTGCCCACTGCTGAGCAAAGTCTCTTGTCACACGGAGAAGGTTTGAGCATTAGGTAATCACCACGTTTGCTTTGTGGGTTGGCGATTTCAAACTTACCTCTATAATAAGAAATTATTAGTCCAGGTTTCCTTACAATGTTTTCCTTCATCGTTTTTCAGTGATGGTTAAATAATCTTAGAAAGTACATATAACTCGGAAAAAGATACATCGGTACTATTCGTTTCGGTTACCTACTTAGTGAAGATTTTTATATGTAGGTAAGGTACACGCGACAGGTTTTTGATATTTCCAGTTTACAAATTTAATGTTCCATAAAATAATTTTATTTTCTTGATTGTTTTATTTAAAAGTCGTGCTCTTTTCTTCATAATATTTCATCGAAATATTTCAGTACTTTAAACCTTATCAATGAAGACATAAGATAGATTATGGTGGTTTGCGCTTTTGAGGTTAATGATGTTAATTATTCATATCTCTATTTTGTTTAGTTTTATAAATGAAAACGAAGAAACATTAGCTAAACTACTTAGCTTTGTTTTTAACCATTCTCCATTAAATAAATGTTATGATTAAAATTTGAAGATTATTTAATTTTTAAACTACAGACATACCTATCGGTTAATGGTTCCTAGGTCAAGTAAAAAAAAATTAGACCTAAGTCAAATTATCATACTAGGGTGACCAACGAGCCGATGGATCGGTAAGCAATCGGCACTTCTCAAGGACTTTTTCAAAATAAGACCAGTGACAAGAACACGTTTCTGTTTAGGCAGGAAAATTATCGAATGACTTCTCCCACCTCTACGAGGCGAGTGTCGAACTCTTACTGACTGAAAACCACCCCGTTCCTACTCCTGCACTTCGTTAATAAGAGCGCTTGGAGTGGCTGAATACGATCTCTGGAGATTCTCGATTTGAAATACCCATAAAGTGTTTAAATTTTTTAAATATTTACTTGACTGTTTCAGGCCAAAACTGGTAGCCTTAACAACATCATTTGGAAATGTGAATCTCACACAAGCAAATATAAACAGCGATCGGATTCTGCGAGTCAGTGAGAGGCTAGATGTAAGTTTTGATAAGAATACGTACTGATAAGATTACCACACCTAAAAACATTGTGATGCAATGTTGTATTTATACATAATTATATTAGGTAGGTATATTATAAAACCTTGTATTTAAGAGTTTGGCAAACCATTTCTTTTAATTTCCCCGTAATGCAAGACATTCTTTTATGATATTTCATTATCAGACAAACAAGCGGTGCTGTCAAATTCCAACTGCCTATTTCAATTAGACCAGGAAAACACTTTTGAACTTCAAACAAAAAAAAGGCACTCTTTCGGTTAGTCTTCAAGTAAAAGCTATTCATTTTAAGCTGTAGATTCCTATGGAGGAGAACGAATAAGAAACTCCATAGGTTACTCTTTTTCAATCAGGTTCACGATACAATTTGAAATGTACTGTCAGAGTCAACATGGCATATTCACTTTGCTTTAATCTCTTACTATTTACATGCTGGTTCCGTTTCCGGTCGTTATATCGTAAACATTGAAGTATCGGTGCTCCGGAAAGTTTTTCCACATTAAATACACTACAGCCATAGTTTAACATTTCATTCACATCTTACGAAGAAAGAAGGAAGTTTTGAAGTTAATAGTAATAATAAACATTGCGCATGGTTTGATTACTAGAAGAAATTCTGAAGAAACAAATCATCGAACTTTGAGGTTAGAATTGTAAATAGACATTATAGAATATTTTAATTGCATAAACGCTTGACTAATAACTGTTAGACAGTTAGTGTCATCTGTCACTACAGTGTTGCCAGCAAATAAACCAATTATAAATACGTTTCTTTACACGCATAAATATAAGAAACATGGAAGGCCAATTTCAATTACTTTTTGATAAGATGAAAATCGAAATGCAAAAGCAAACATCGGAGTTGAGTAATGCAATAATGGAAAAAATAGAAGAGAAATTAAAACCCATTGTAGAAGAAAATAAAAATTTGAAAATCAAAGTTGGAAACTTGGAGAAAAAACTAGATTACTTACAAAGAGAGAAGAAAAGCAACAATATTATAATTCACGGGATACTAGAAGAAGAAAAGTCTACATTGGAGTTATTCGAAAACCTGAAAAAAGTGTTTCGAATCGAATTAGGTATATCAATGGAAGAATATGATGAGAAAAAAATCTCACGCATTGGAAAATCAATCAAAGGCGACAAACCAAGACCTGTACTCCTTGGCTTGAATAGTGCATGGAAAAGAACTGAAATACTGAAAAAGAAAAAGAATTTTAAAAATATTTACGTAACAGAAGACTATTCAAAAGAAACTATAGAAAAAAGGAAAGCACTACAACCCAAACTCGCGGAAGAAATGAAAAAAGGAAACATTGCCTACATAAAATACGATAAACTCGTCGTCAAAGAAAACACAAATGCCAACGATAAAAGAAAAAGAGAAGATTCTAATTCTCCTCAAGCTGATATACAACCAAAAAAACAGCAGACACTAATGGCATCCAAAAATAACAGGGTAAACGCATTTGATTTCATGAGGCGATCAAACTCTCTCTCAACCATCATAACAGAGGGAAAACAATAGCAACGAAACAAATGCGATCGGAAACTGGAAACGAAAACTAAACTACACAAAACAGTAAATAGAACTAAACATACTCCCCCAAGCCGACTGGTCCTCGTGGGGATGTAGACCACGACCCTCTAAGGATAAATAAAACCCTGAATATACACATAGCTACTCTCAATGTAAGAACACTACGAACTACTGAAAAACTCCATGAACTCGAATTAGCCATAGCAGACTTGAATTGGGACATTATAGGCATTAGCGAAATGAGAAGATATGGGGAAGGTATAGAAGACTATGGAAACTATATCCTACATTATAAAGGCGAGACACCAGGTTTATACGGTGTGGGCTTTTTGATTAAAAAATCACTAGCCCACAGAATCGAAGAAATAAGAGGCACATCGGAGAGAATAGCAATTTTAAATATCGTACTACCATTAAACAAAATCGATAAATGGACTATCATACAAGCTTACTCACCAACTGAATCAAACAAAACGGAGGAAAGTAAAGATATTGAAAAATTTTACGAAAGTTTACAGGCGACTATTCAAACCGCACATAAAAACATTATCGTAATGGGTGACTTTAATGGACAAGTAGGAAAGCGTAACAGTTATGGGGAAGAACATACGGTAGGGCAATATAGTTCTGGTACAAGAAGTAAAAACGGAGACAGATTGGTCAGTTTTGCTTTAGAAAACAAACTAAGTATTCTCAATAGCTTCTATAAGAAAAAACAAAAAAAGAAATGTACATGGATCTCGCCTAACGGACTATATAAAAATGAAATCGACTTTATCATGACTAACAAGCCAAGGAACTTTCAAGATGTATCGGTTATTCACAATTTAAACTTCTATTCAGACCACAAAATGGTCCGCGCACGGCTAACAGGTGCGCCTATAAAGAAAAACAGGAAATTTCAAGACAGGAAAGTAGCCATAGCGTGTACTGGAGACAGTGACCGACTCATGACTAACCTACAAGCTACAATGGGGAAAAGAGAAGACATACAACTTCAGATAAGGTATGATACATTTATTAACTTGTTAGCAACAGAAACTAAGAAAATTAACTCGGAGAAGACTAAGATGATTTCTGATGAGACATATCGATTACTACAGGAAAGGAAAGAACTAATACAAAGAAAGGAAAATAAGGATAACCGCTCTAAGATAGCTGCAGTTAGTAAAAAGATTAATGAACAAATAAGGAAAGATAAGAAAATAAAAAGACAAGCAACGTTGAAAGAGCACATTGAGAAAACTGGTGGAATTAAAAAGGCCTTAAAGGAACTAAATATTAAAAAGGATTGGATGCTACAAACAAAAACATTCGACGGAAAATACACAAACAAAAGACAAGAAATATTAAAAGTAGCTACAGATTATTACCGAAACCTATACCAAAGAAAAAAACCTAAATTGAAGACTAGCCATAAAATCGAAACAGAAGATGAGGCAGTACCAGAAATACTACTACAAGAAACAACAAGAGCAATTAATTCACAAAAAAGGGGTAAGACTCCTGGAACCGACCAGATAACTAATGAACTATTAATAACGACCGCACCGGTGATCGCTCCCATATTAACGAGCTTATTTAATGATATTATGGAGACTGAAAATATCCCGGCCGACTGGTCTACTTCCACTATAATATTACTGCATAAAAAAGGAGATAAAGGCGAAATAGGTAATTATCGACCAATCAGTCTAATGTCCAACATTTATAAAGTTTTTTCAAAAATTATTTTATCTCGAATATCACCAACACTCGATTTCAATCAACCAAAAGAGCAAGCTGGCTTCCGAAGCAAATATTCAACCGTGGATCATATACATGTACTAAGACAAGTCCTTCAAAAATATAAAGAATACAAGAAAGTCTACTATCTGGGATTTGTCGATTATAATAAGGCTTTTGACTCATTGGAACACGATTCAATCTGGGAAGCGTTGCATACGCAGGGAATACCCAGAAAATATATACAAATACTTAAAAATATCTATTCCAACAGCAAGGCACGAGTTAGGCTAGAGGCAACAGGAGAGGAGTTTCCCATAGAGCGAGGGGTCCGGCAAGGCGACCCTGTCTCACCCAAACTATTTTCGTCGACCCTCGAGATGGTATTTAGAAAGTTGGAGTGGGAGGAAAATGGACTCAACATAAACGGTGAACCTTTAAACCACCTCCGTTTTGCAGATGACTTGATCCTATTTTCTGAGTGCCCAAAAAGGCTAGAGCAAATGCTACAACAGCTATCAGATGAAAGTGCGAAGGCAGGACTTTCAATGAACACAAATAAAACTAAAATTATGACTAACGGCTCTAAGACATATAATATCAGAGTTAACACGGAGGAGATAAAGTACGTGGAAGAATATATATACCTTGGACAGTTGATAGCCCCAAGCGACACAATGCAAAAGGAAATCGATAGAAGAATAGCCAATACTTGGAAAAGATATTGGTCTCTAAGCGAGGTTATGAAAAATCGAGACATGCCAATGAAAGAGAAAAGAAAACTGTACAACACCTGTATTCTGCCATGTTTGACATACGGGTGCCAAACATGGGCACTAACGGAAAATTTAAAAAGAAAAATAAATGTATGCCAGAACGGAATAGAGAGAAGTGTAATTGAAGTAAAAAGACAAGATAAGGTAAGACTAGAAAAAATTAAGGAAATAACTAAATTTAAAGATGCAGGGAAAGTATGTAAAACACTAAAATGGCAATGGGCAGGGCATATGATAAGAGAGAGGAATATGAAATGGACAAAGACAATATCAGAATGGTACCCCAGAGATGGGAAAAGGAGCAAAGGGCGACAACCAAAACGTTGGGAAGATGACCTAAGGAAAACTGCTGGACCAGAGTGGATGAGAATTGCGAGGGATAGGGAAAACTGGAAATCCTTGGAGGAGGCCTATGTCGAAGGACAAGCTGGGGATAAAACTACTGATGTATAGTATAGTGATATAGACTAAATTGTAACCTCAGTAATAAAGGCTTATTTTATTTATTTATTTTATTATTTACATGCGTTCTAGTATTTCTTACTTCTCGTACTAATATTGTACCTCTATATACAACATGATTTTATTGTCTTACAAGTAACCTTCATGTCAAACCTCTCAATATTATAAGAAAATTTTATCATAAATCCACGCCTGTTGTTTCCTGAAAGTAGAATGACAATGTTTATTTATCTAACAACTGATAAAAATATGACAGTGACAAAACATTTACAACTAAACTATATTATTGCCTATAGTTTTGCTTGCGTTGAAATTTTAGAAAATCTTTGTTCTATATTTTTTAATAATGTTTGGTTTTTGGGGATTCCTTCGTTTGTAATACATCTGTTTTTATAAAAAAGCAACGTTACCCCTCACTAGAATTTTCTTCTGTGTCGTGGGGGCATTTACAAACATATAAATTCACGTAGACATAACACCCAGACCCTAAAAACAATTTGTGGATCACACAAAAGTGTTGCTCCGTGTGGGATTCGAACCTGCGCCACGCTGCCGGCTGTCTAGTCACCGCGCCAACAGTACAGTAAATTTATTCATAAACTATAGCTAGACCACCACCGACTCATGGCTTTTGATTACATTCGTACATCTGATCATACAATTACAATACAATTTACTTGATTATGTTCATAAATGTCTGAATAAAAAAAAAATGTTTACCTTCTTTAATGTTTAATAATTGCAGATACCAATATACTCAGGTGCTAACAAAGCCTTTATAGAAGAAATGGGATCAGATCGCTATTTTGGACTGGATGGATTTGGAGACACTGGCTACCAAGCTCCAGGGCCAATAGATATTGAAAAGCAGCCAGCCGCTGTTGCACTTATAGAACTTTCAAAGAAATATAAAGGTATAAAGATTTTTATAGCTAACCATGATAGAGGCAAACGTAGTGTAGGGCGCCCTCCAGCTACGATCTCCGGCCACCGTAAGCGCGGGCCTGCGGACGGCGAGCATGGGTAGCTCCCCGTCCGACCAGAAACAGACCCGAGCGTGCGGCGCGTCGCGTTCCGCGCGCGCCTCAAAGAGCCATCAGACCACCACAGATGGGGCCCAATAGGGCCGATGCCGATTCGGAGTCGCGGAGAACCTAACGGGTAACCGGGGCTCCGGCTCGACGTGCAGGAGAAGGAACGGGGTGGTTTTTAGTCAGTAAGAGTCTGACACTCCCTCCCGCCTCACCCAGGCGGGAGCAGGCATTCGATGATTTTCCCCCCTTAAAAAAAAGGGCGCCCTCCAGCTAGGTGGAGTGACGATATACGTAAAGTGGCTGGTAGTGGTTGGATGCGTAGAGCTGAAGACCGAGCTCAGTGGCGTGCCATTGGAGAGGCTTATGTCCAGCAGTGGAAGAAAACAGGCTGTTGATGAACTATGATATTTCTTTTTATTTTCAAAATAAGGGTTAATCAATATAACACCTACTTTTTGTTGACAGAAACTGGCCCCAGGTCCAGATTTAATAACTTTTTTTATGTGATAAGTCGATAAACGAGCAGACGGATCAATTGATGGTTATCAATCGGCGTCGCCCATGGGCACCCGGAACACCAAAGGCGTTACAAATGCGTTACCAGCCTTTTGGGGATTATGAATTTGAGGAACGTTGGGTTTTCAGGAATTGGGGGATTGGAGAAGGGAGAGGGAATAATAGCGCCTCCGTTAACCTCACTCATACGACGATATATGATGCTTCACGTCGGTTTTCTATGAGCCCGTGGTAACACTCCGGTCGAGCCTGGTCATTCGTGCGAAAGCATGGACCTTACACACTTATACTGAGAAGTGTAAACCAAAACAACTTAATCAATAGTTGGTCAATCGCAAATTAGTACTCCATGCTATCACTGACAAATTTAAAAACTCTTTTATAGCTTTGAAAATCGATTTCCAAGACCTAGTAGCGTAGTAGTACTTTTTCTCAGACTAATACACAAGTCAAGTTTAAACTTTAAGACTGTATTGGACAATTTTCTCAATTATTTTCAGATGAACTAATAGTAGTAGCTATCGGTCCAGCTACTAACATCGCTTTGGCTTTGAAACTGGATCCCCAATTCATCCACCGACTAGCACATTTATATATTGGCGGTGGTCATATCTACAGTAAGTTTAACTCTCTATAATATTATTAAATACTAGCTTCTGCCCGCGACTTCGTACGCGTCATCCCATATTCTCCCGTTCCCATAAGATTTTCAGGATTATTTTTCCATCATTAGAACCTCTTCCTGACAATAAAAAACACAACAAAAAAAATCAGCCAAATCGGTCTAGCCGTTCTCAAGTTATGGCGTGACAACGGGAAACGGGTTTCATTTTTATAAACATGGATAATAATGTGTGATTCAATTTATAATTAAAAATGACTCATTCGAAAGACTCGATTTTTCCAATGCCAGATAAATTTTAACTGAAGAATTTCTTTGAATTTGAATAATTCTTCCATACTGAAAACTGTCAAATGTCAATTTTATTTTACAGTTAAAAATTAACTAATAATTGAATATCGGCCATAAAGGGCATTTTCACGCATAACTTGCTCTTGTATGCTTTGAAAACGACATTAAGAAATATATCGTACGACACACAATTTAAAGGTCATATTTATATGACAAGATAATTTCTGGATTGGAGCCGTGCCGGTTAAATATGCTATAACCGTAAATGAACATAGTTCATCATATTATTATATTATTAGTATCGTTTGTTAATGAGCTTGTGCAGACAATGCAAATAAATCTATTTCCAAGAAAGTACATAATGTGTCATTGTAATGTATATTACAGGTGAAAAATATCCAAAAGCTGAATTCAATGCTGCCATGGACCCTGAAGCGTACCACATAGTGGCAGACAGTGCTGTAGCTGATAAAGTGACTATTGTACCATTCTCTCAAGTTATCGAAACGCTTAAAATTCCTATTGTAAGTCTAATTTACTTTTTCTACCTTTATTTTAATACATAACATAACATCATGCCTTTTATCCCCGAAGGGGTCGGCAGAGGTGCACATTACGGCACTTAATGCCACTGTACAATGTATCACCCACATTTCACTATTTATATTATGAGTCCCATGTAATAGTGGGTGAACCTATTACCATACACCGGACGCAATTCCAGATTTAATGCTACTACTAAGCATTTTTATAAAACCAAGTAATACTTTGACCGACTCGGGATTCGAACCCGAGACCCCTTGACCGACAGTCGCACTTTTTAATCAAAGTAAATCATAAATAATCATAAATATCGGTTTTGAGATCCATATTCGATCAGTATTAACAAAATACAAAATGTATTTTATTCACTACTGAAAATCATGCGCGATCTTTTTAAAAAGTTTAGTCTTTGATCAAATTAGGTCATTGTTCTCAATCTTTTAATTAGTTCCGTGGGATGGCTTCACAGCGGTAAATGCCAGTAATAAACCAAAGATCTTTCCAAAACATAGGACTGCGTCTTCTAGATGGTTTAATTGCCTTATATTATTTTAATACCCTTCCATTAAAACATTATATTCAATTCGATAATAAGACAATTTAAAAGTGACTCCCGAACTATGAATACTGATGTCAACTATTTGATTGATCCAACGAAACTATTTAACTAAAGAATTGTGTTGTGAATATGATTGAAAAAAGGAGTAACCAATGGAGTTATATGCTCGTTCTTCTCCATAGGAATCTACACTTTGGAACGAGCAAATAGCTTCACTAGACGACAGACCGACAGACTGACACTGTTAATTTTTTTGTTTACATTAAGAAATGCCTTTCTGGTCTAATAGGGTCGATGCCTAATATTCATTTTAATGTCTGTCTTGTAGACTAGTATAAATCATTAGACACGTATTTTTATATTATCTTACAGAAACGAATACTTTCGACATGTTGCATGACGTCACTTATATGTACATTTTATACGTAGAAATGACGTTTTAGCTCCCACTCCTAAAATTTGATTTGTTTTATGTAAGTATTGTTTTATTAAATGACAAAATTAAAAAATACGTGTCTAATATTTTTCATTACATTACCTAACTGACGGACTAATTAGAATTTTAATTTTCATACTCTGTCATCATCCTAATTGAAATAAATGATTTTGACTTTGACTTTGACTGTCTGTTACAGGAATGGCGTAAAGAAGTATTAGGTGCAATTGACACACCAATCATGCGAGCTCTGAACGTGTATGAACAAGTAGCTCTTCCCAAAGAAAAAGCTTGGAATCTTCTGGATCCAGCCGTTGCAGCTATAGCTCTTTATAATGAAATCGTCGACGAGTTTAAAAATTCCAACAACACTATTATTTTAGAAGGTAAGCAATTTATGAAGTACTAGCGATCCGCCCCGGCTTCACTTGAGTGCATTATGCATGTATAACATAAACATTACTTAAGAATCAATGTATCTATTAAAACAATCGCATCAAAATTCGTTGCGTAGTTCTAAAGATCTATGCAAACATATAAACAGGCAGACGGCGAATAGGGCCTTTGTTTTATACTATGTACATAGTTTAGTATAGATTTAGAAGATTGATGATCATTGGCACCAACTAATCCTACCATCTCTTAACTAAAAATTACTTAGCGTGATGTAACACCTAACGTAACTAACCCTTGTGCCGTTAGGTGTCACTTATAGGTTAGTGAAAACCAAAATCATAACTTAAGGGTTTCTTAAAATAAAGGTGTGATATAAGTACTTACAGTTTTATGGCCCCTACAATGAACAGAATAGCAAAAAAAATGGTCATTCTAAATGAAAATATTGCCATAGTGTTTAAAATGTCTACAAATTGTTACTGGAATAAAAATATTAGAAGTCGTTGTAATGAGGAATATAGTAGAAAATCGACCGTGTACCGGCTTCCATGTAAAAGTACTTAGATGTTTTTTATGGGATAACCCGGTAAAAGAGCAGACGGATCTTCTGATGGTAAACAATCAACGCCGCCCATAAGCACCTGAAACAAGTTACAAGTTCGTTACAAGTTCATTACAAGTGCGTTACCGGCCTTTTGGGAATTGCGAATTTGTGGATTCTGGGATTGAGGAGACTAGGGAAGGGGGCAATTGAACCTCCGGTAACCTCACTGACACGGCGAAACACAAAACAAGCGTAGTTTTACGTCGGTTTTCTGTGAGGCCGTGATATCGCTCCGGTCAAGTCGGCCCGTTCGTGCCGAACCATGGCTCTCCTGCACTTATGATATTGAGACGATAACTGAACCCTTCTTTTACACGTTACAGGTGAAAAACGTGGCATCATTACAAACGACTTTTCTTCATCGGATCCCAATGCAAAAGTGTTTTACAAAGGCAACGTTGAATACTATCAGAAGTTCATCTTAGACGTGTATTCAGCCGAATTAAATCCTTAATCTTCATAGAGATAAGGTTGAAAATGTCATAGACGAATAGAGTCAATGGCACGAGGACTAAAACTGGTAGTTCTGAGTTGAAAGTTGTGATATTTTTTATTTTAATTATATTTTAGATTCTTTCTAAAATTTGAAACAAAAAACTAAAAAGCTTTATTATACAAAAGTGAATATTATAATAAGAAATGCGAGTATAATCTTTTGCAAACTAGTAAAATAATTTTGAATTCAGAATGCATTGCAATTTTTTCAATTTGTTTTAAGGAAAGAAAATGTGTGCCATAAGCTGTGTGGCTATTACTTGTGTATATTTTTTGCAAATTTTGTAAAAAATCTGAATTGTCTTATCATCGACTTAATGTAGTAAATTATATGTGATTTATACATAGTCTTATTTATCGAAAATATTTTGTACTTACTGTATCCCTAGTATTATGGGGAATAGCCGTGATATTTATTGTATTAGTATAATAAAATGATATTTTGAATTTCAAACAATTTTATTTATAGCATACTAACTTGAAGATGACCATGTCGAAGACCAAACTAATGGCTAACAGCATAAAATATAGGTTAGAGGTAGATGGCGTGGAAATGGAATACGTCCATGAATATATCTACCTTTTTTTTTAATGGGGGGAAATCCTCATGGACTGCCTCCGCCTGGGGAAAGGCAGAGGGGTATGCCGGACTCTTACCGGCTAACACCACCCCAGTGTCTCCTCGCACGTGCGCGCGGGGACGCGGGAGGTCAAATTCATCCGCAGCCCCGCATTACAGTGCCAACCCGTCCATTCGGGCCTCGTCTCCTGCACCGTAGCAATGTGTAGCCACGTGCAATGAATATGAATGAATGAATGAATGAACCTGGGCCAACTAGTTCCTTTCCAGACGAGAAAAGATAGAGAAGTTACTGGACGTACCGAAAACGCCCAAAAGAGCTATTTGTCCGTGAAAGACCTAATGAAAGGTAATCTTCCATTAGCACTCAAAAAGAAACCCATGGACGTGTGCATTCTGCTCATCCTCACCTTTGGCGCTCAAACTTGGTCTTAGGCACAACATCAGAAGTCCAAACTCAAGGTTTTTTTTCTTAAGAGGGGAAAATCATCGAATGACTGCTCCCGCCTAGGTGAGGCGAGAGGGAGTGTCAGACTCTTGCTGACTAAAAACCACCCCGTTCCTTCTCCTGCACGTCGAGTGGGAGCCCCGGTAACCCGTTAGGTTCTCCGTGACAAACTCAAAGTTTGCCGGGTCATGGAGCGCAGTATCTTAGGAGTTCGACTATCGGACAGTATTATTAACACCACGCTGCTCTCTACAACTAAAATCGTTGACATTGGTCATGAAATATTTCATTTCACTGTACAAGTTTATTATGAAAAAAAGTTTTAAGTCTGGTTACATTTGAACTAGGTAATTACAAAAAAAAACGATACTAATAAAGATCCATACGTAATCTCGTTGAAGCCATTGGGTATTTGTTGAGTTCAAAAATAATCATAACAGAACAGAATAGAACATAACATAACATAACATAACATAACATAACATAACATAACATAACATAACATAACATAATATACAGTGTAACACCCACTTTTCACTATCTATGTTATGAGTCCCATGTAATAGGGGGTGAGCCTATGCCATATACCGGGCACGATTCCAGACTCCGTGCTACTACTGAGATTTTTTTTAAAAACCTAGTAAACTTTGCCCGACCCGGGAATCGAACCCGAGACCCCTTCCCCAGCAGTCGCACTTGCGACTCGGCCAATGAGGCAATCAAGTTTAACAATAAACTTTAATTATATAAAAACTGTGTTTAAAAAACCGACTTCGAAAAACCAAAAACAAATAACAAACAAAAAGTCAAAACTAAAAAGCAAAAAATAACTATTATTAGTAAAAAATAACTATTATTAGTAAGAAGTCGGTGCCATAAGTTCCATACAAAATTATTCATTAAAACCTTAATAGGTACCTAATTCACAATTTTGTGGGCATTAAGTTATATCATTATGATATGAGCTTATGGCACCGACTTCTAACCTATCAGTGGGCGGGTAGCCTATCACTACTAATAATAGTTATTTTTTGCTTTTTAGTTTTGACTTTTTGTTTGTTATTAGTTTTTGGTTTTTTGAAGTCGGTTTTTTAAACGCAGTTTTTATCCAGGTGTAAAGTCCTCATCAATACAAATTATACAAGCCTAAACACAAGGTAGTTACTGTATACCGTTGAGGAGTTCCCTTAACAATTACACTTCTTAATCATCAGACCCTTAATGACAGCCACACTCTATCTAGGTGTAAAGTTCTCATCAATACAAATTAATGAAGCCCAAACACAAGGTAGTTAATATAAACCGCTGAGGAGTTCCCTCGGCTGTCTGTCGACTCTATCATCAGGTCGACTCCAGACTCTTATCAAATTGTAGTGTTTATAAATCGTAATTGAAAAACATAATAGACGCATTACTCGCCCATAGAATTTTCGAAAGTTCCCCTCGGTTTCCCTAGGATCCCATCATCAGATCCTGACTTCATGGAAATGGGACCATCTCGGCAGTATACCCTTTCAAACAAAACAAGAATTTTGCAAATCGCTTCACGCATCTCAGAGTTATGCACGTACATACAAACAAAAAAAAGCAACATACCGGCCGAATGTATAACCTCCTCCTTTTTTGAAGTCGGTTAAAAAGAACCTAATCTGTTATGCTGTTATTCTGTTTTACGTATAATGTAAATATAAACACAAAGATTTAATAATTCACGTCCATCTATAAAAACATACAAAAATTGTGATAAACTACATAATCGGTTCACATTTGAGTAATAAGTTCATGCTTCGTTTAGAACTAATATTAAAAAAATACTGGAAGGCTAAAAACCACAGTAATACTTTACCCGACCCGGGATTTGAACCCGAGACTCCTTGCCTTACGACCACTCGGTCAATGAATCTTTACATTTTCTCAAATTGCCCAATTGTCAATATTTTCTCATATATTTTGTGATTACAAAGTAAATAATGATTATTTATACCTAATAAATCATAGTTTATAAATATTTAGTTATTACTATATAGACACGAGCTCATTAGAATGAACTAGACGATGACGTGGCACAGTGGGTGGATTACTGGTAGTTCAAAGTCAAAGTCAAGTCAAAATCATTTATTTCAATTAGACCAGTAAGACACTTTTGAACGTCAAAACAAAATATTTAAATATTAAATAATAAGAAAAAATGTCAGTCTGTAGGTCAGTCCTCTAGTGAAGCTATTTGCTCGTTCCAAAGTGTAGATTCCTATGGAGAAGAACGGACAAGAAACTCCATAGGTTACTCTTTTTCAATCATGTTCACAATACAATTTTTGGTTACATTCTTCCGTTGAGTTCAATAATGTGAGAACAATGTAATACCAATATTTGGTCAAGGAGACGGAAAAAGAAAATAACCTTGAGGACAACAAATTTAATACAGTTGTGCAATATATCGCGGGATTAATTTCCGCATACAATATTTTTTGCTTGATCCACATGTTGTTATTGTTCCGAGTCTGAGAGTGATACGTATATAAACTTAGATATTAAACATGTTTAGAACACATGGGTATTCCCATGTGTTCTAAACATGTTTAATATCTTGCTAGGGTATTCCCTAGCATAGAAAAAAGAGAAAAAATGGCGAACTTTATTCGTTTTGTACTGCCAAACCTTAAAGTCTATTGCTATTTATCATCACATTGTCTTAACGAAAAGCAAATATAGGTTTTTTACCCAAACTTGTTTCTCAATTAAATAAATATCCTTCTATAGTTTGTATTTGTTTTTATCAGAAAAGGACGTCAAGTCGTCAATCAGTTTTTGAAAATAGAACTCTTAGTTAGTGGGAAAGAGACACTGCTATTTGAAGGTCATTGACCTGCGAGTCTAATTCGCGCGCATTCGACGCTTGTCAGTTGTTTACGTGCAACGCGCACGAGTAGAAAAACATTATTATAGTGTGTTATTGATTCAAGACAAGATAATAAGTGAATACATAATACATAATGGTTAAATAACGGCTCATAGTTCAGTATTATTCCAGTGGTTTACAGTGATATAGTGTATTTTGAGTTGTTCAAAAATGGCCGTCAAGTGAGTTCTGTTATTGAAATTTTGCTTCGTAATGCTGTAGTGTTTTGTTATAGTTGAAATTTTGGTTTGTGTTGTAGAATGAAATTTAGTTTTTCTGATGTTTTGATGAAGGGATTTGGGATCGTTTATATAGTATTGGATATTTAAAACTGTGCATGCTTGTATTTCTCACTTGAACAACTTTAATATTAATAGTAACTTACTAATTTCGTTTGTGTTTTTTCTGTGAGTGAGGTGTGAGTTACCGTAGGCCCAATTACCCCCACTCTCCAATTCCTGAATCCCCAACAATCGCCAAATTCTTAAACCCCAAAAACGGTAACGCACTTGTAACGCCTCTGGTCTTCTGGGTGTCTATGAGCGACGCCAGTTGCTTACCAGTGATCCGTCTGCTTGTTTACCGGCTTCTCCCATAAAAATGGTAGATTATTTTAAGTCATTAGACACGTATATTTTATTTTCTTACAGAAACGAATACTTTCGACTTGAAATGTAGCGTGACGTCACATCTATGTACCTACATTTAATACGTAAAATGACGTTTTCGCCCCAACTCCTAACCTTTTTTTCATTGCCTAACTTACGGACTAATTATATTGTTAATTTTCATACCCTGTCATCATCCCAATTACAGTGGCATTAAGTGCCGTAATGTGCACCAATGCCTACCCCTTCGGGGATAAAAGGCAAGATGTTATATTATCTTCATCCGGAGTTATAAATGATAGTAAGATCGTGGTTATGATTTTAAAACCAATTGGTATAAAACGCAATTGAGATGATGACAGGGTATGAAAATTAAAAACCTAATTAGTTCGTAATTTAGGTAATGAAAAAATATTAGACACGTATTTTTTTATTTTGTCGCATACTTAATAAAACAATGCTTAACTCGTCGAGTATCGTCATTATAGACACAATTATAGAACAATACCTATTGTTCTATAATTGTGTGTGTTACCTAGCATTAAGTGTCGTAATGTGCACCTCTGCCTAACCCTTCGAGGATAAAAGGCGTGATGTCATGTTATGTTACGCCCGAGTACGGAAAGGTTACTTATTTTAAATTGTACTTAAAATCATGCCGTCTCTGTCATTTTACAAAGAATTTGTAGAGACAGAACTATAGTTAAATAAAACGCATCAAAGTTTAGGAGTGGGACCTAAAACGTCATTTCTACGTATAAAATGTACATAGAAGTGACGTCATGCGACATTTCAAATCAATAATTCGCCGAAAGTATTTGTTTCTGTAAGAAAAAAAATACGTGTGTAATGATTTAAAATAATCTACCAGTCAGACATTGAAATAAAAATTAGGCATCTACCCTATTCAAGATCGTATCAAAGTTTACTAGGCCGCTAGCATGATCTATTTACATTGTAGTCCAAGATAACTATTCTACCAATACAATAAAGTTCAACCTTTTACTAGACTACGATAATAATCTTTAGATCAGTCAGTAGCAAAAATACTCTTTTAGACTTTATAGCCACATTCGTAAAGAAGGTTATGAATTGTCTCAAATCATGCTATGTTTATTTTTAGGTCTTGTAAACGCAACTGGAGTTATGGAAAAATCTACGTTTTAACTTCTTTATGTACAATTATGGAAAGCCCACATTTGTCCATACAAAAGTAGTCTATAAACATCGGATATATTTTCCTTGTGGGACTATTATTCATACTCATTGTATTGATGACGAAAAATACTACGAGAATACACACTAAACAGCAAAACTGAATCAACATTAAGGCCATTGCTTACTCCTTCGATCATAAAATTAGTTAAACAAATAAAATATTTGTCATCACACTATTATTATAAATGAGAAGTGTGGGGGAGCCATGCTTCGATACGAATGGGCCGGCTCGACCGGAGTGATACCACGGCCTCACAGAAAACCGACGTGAAACAACGCTTGCGTTGTGTTTCGACGTGTGAGTGAGGTTACCGGAATTATTTGAGGTTACCAATTACCCCCCTCCCTAGTCTCCCGAATCCCCGTATCATCCACAATCCTCAAATTCCCAAAAGGCCGGTAACGCACTTGTAACGCCTTGGTGTTTCGGGTGTCCATTTCGGGCGGCGCCGATTGCTTACTATACCTGATGGTAAGCTATCGGCGCCGCCCATGGCGTGACATGATCCGTCTGCTCATTTACCATCTTATGCTATAAAAAAAAATAATAATGACAACGTTTCTTCGTTTAGATGTTTGTCCGTCAATCACGCTGAAACTACTAAACGGATTTTGATGAAATTTGGTATACTGACAGGGTATGGGCTGACTTAGATGATAGGATACATTTTATTCCGATTAAATGCTCCCACGGGATAAAACAAAGGCGCGAGTCAATTCGAGTTTTAAATAAATTCGCAATCAAGTTGTGATTCCAGTAACTGGTATACAACCGAAAATTAAACGGGTCTACAGTAGACAATCTTAAATGATATGATTGTTAAATAAGTAGGTTTATAGCTATCAAACATTTAGTTCATCTCCCGATGCGGTTGAAGCTGCCCGTCATGATCGTGTTAAGAGCAATATTCGTGTGTTTGTTTGTTTGTGTTTGTGTGCAGTGGTATGTATCACGCAATGTATTATTTTTAAAGATAATGGCTTGGGGACTGTATATATGTATGCGGATAAGTTTTTTTTAATTGTGAATGAAAAGTTGTGAGATAGGTATTTTAACGAAAATTGTTTAGTGTTTCAGTAATACATGTTATTTAGTGATAAGGGATTTAGGTTTTCGAAAAAAAAATGAAAACATTAAACAGTTAAACATTCATTAATAATTAACATGTCTTATATTCAGCCTGGTGTTTAATAAACTTGTTTTTTTCACTTATACACACTTTTAACTCGTCGAGTACCGGTTTTGTAGAACAATAGGTTGCGGTCACCGGTGACCGCTTGGTGTTTGACAGTTTAAGTAACTTGACTATTATCTGCCTCGCTGGCCGAGTGGTCGTAAGTGCGACTGCTAAGCAAAGGGTCTTGGGTTCGATTCCCTGGTAGGGCAAAGTATTACTGGGTTTTTTTTTTAAATCTCAGTAGTCGCACGGAGTCTGGAATTGTACCCAGTATATGGCAATAGGTACACCCTCTATTACATGGGACTCATAACATAAATAGTGAAAATTGGGTGTTACATTGTACAGAAATCGCATTTTTTGAGTTCATGTAAAATTATACGAATTACTAATGGTCCGTATAATTCAACGATTTGAATTCGGTTTTTGAACTATTCATACATTGAATAAAAGTTTGTTAGTCATATTACATTGTATTCATTAAAGTCAAAGTCAAAATCATTTATTTCAATTAGACCAGGAAGGCAATTTGAAACGTCATCAATATAAATTTAAAAGTGAATCTATTTGCTAATTCCAAGGTGTAAATACCTATTGAGATTGAGAAGAACGAGCAAGAAACTCCATAGGTTACTTTTCCAATCAGGTTCACAATACAATTCTCCAAAAACATCGTTTAATGTTTCGATTGTGTTATTACCAAAAGTTTTTAGGCAAATAAAGGAAAAGTCCTTTGTACTGTTTTTCTAGTTTGAAGATCTCACTACGTATATTTATTTATGTCGAAATATTTAAACGCTATTGAGTTTTAAGTCCTGCTTAAGTATAGTTTTGTCACTATAAATCCTTTGTTAAAGGACAGAGACGGCATGATATTTAAGTACAACTTAAAATTGAGTAGACCTTCAGTATTCGAGCATTAGTTAGTCACTTAAAGTAACATTAAGCTGTTGACTCTACCTCTATATTTCTCTGGGGAAAAACATGCACGTATTACGTCATATTTGTTGAAGTTGATATTTTACGTCTTCATGACTTGAATAGTTATAATGCATGTCAATGTCAAAACAAAAAAAAGTCAATGCGTGCAATTTGTTTATTTATTTTTGTAACACAGTTTGTTTGACTTGGAAGATGAAATTTAAACAATAATGTCGTGAATAATTTCGCACTTAATACCACTAATTAGGGAGTCATAAAGGTAATTACTAGCTACTACTGCGCGTTTTTACCCCTCTGCTCGGCTCCTATTGATCATTACATGATGTGTTGTAGCCTATGGCCTTTCTTGATAAATGCCCTATCCAGCACAAAAAAGAGCTGATGCCAATTCGGAGTAGGGCTGATGCCGATTTGGAGTAGCGGAAAACCTAACGGGTTACCGGGGCTCCGGCTCGAAGTGCAGGAGTAGGAACGGGATGGTTTTTAGTCAGTAAGAGTCTGACACTCCCTCCCACCTTACCCAGGCGGGAGCAGTCCTTCGACGATTTTCACCACTTAAAAAAAAACCAACATCAAAAAGAATTACTGAAATCGGGAACTTACGGCGATTAGCGTGTTAAAATAAACCAACTTTTCAGCTTTAAAAAAATGTAAGACTATCATAGATCTCGTTCTATCTTTATATTAGCTAAAATGTGATACTAAAGCAACTATTCTGACACGATCTCACTGTTTATGAAATCAATATTATTCTCATTGCGACAGTGTTAGGTAATGGTACTCAATACTTATCTCACAAGATAACAATTTGACCTACTGATCACACTAAAAATAATACAAAGTCAAAAATAAAGAATGTTGACCTATTTTATACTAAAAGTATATTATTAACTAGATAATTTGGCAAACATTGTAACGCCTTAATTTGTTTTTCTCACCTTTTAATCCTTCCCTGGACTTTCATGGACATTTCTAGACCTAAGTCGGTTCAGCCATTTTCGAGTTTTAGCGAGACTAACGAATGAAAACTCATTTTTATTTAGGTATATAGATAGATTTGAAACTATTTATTCGATTTTACCATAGCCAATAAAAAATAGTTGTTCATCTTGAGTTTACATATTTTTCAAAATACACGTCTTGGTTAACCTACGTCATTTTTTATGGAACTGCATGCTATGTAAGTATTGATACATTCATGTCATTATTGTCCTAAAGTTTAGTATTGTCCTTAGTCATCAGTAGTCATCAGTATTGTCCTTAAGGTTATTTTCTTTTTATCCCTTTGACTGAATATTGGTCACATCGTTTTCACATACAACCAGCGTAATAAGTATTCTACACCTGATTGAAAAAAAGAGTATGGAGTTTCTTGCTCGTTGCTTCTGCAAAGGATCTTTATTTTTTGGCGAGGTAAAAAAGGTCTAGTTACCTACTTATCCCACTTTGAATGAAGATAATTCTACACCTAGGAACAACAAAATACCTTCATTAGAGGAGTGACCGACAGACTGACATTTCTAATATTTAGTTTGTCGTCTTCGACTTTAACAATGCTCCTTTTTCAGGTTTTCTTCGCTATAGGTACGTTTATTGAGGTTCGATTGGTATAACTAACTTTTTATTAAACATTATTTGAAGACAAACCTCCCTTTCTATTATATAGTTATTTTCACAATCAATCATCCTCACCTTTCGTATATTCTGCATCTCTTTCCATTTATTAATTTCTTGTTCTATTCTACAGACTGTCCCGTTGTAGGAAAAACGTTTTGTTACAAAATTTCTCAAGTAACTACTTTTTACAGTGACGATAAGAAGCCGAAGTTTATAATCGACAATGATGCCGGTGGAGACGATGCGATGGCCATATTCTTGGGCTTACTGTACGAGAAGTATTTTGATGGGTAAGTAATTTTTAAATTATAAAATTACATCAACAGCCGACAATACCCACTGTTGAGCAAAGCCTTTTCTCACACGGAGAAAGTTTGATCATTAATCACCACGCTTGCTCAATGCAGGTTGGTGATTTCAATCTTATAATTGGAAATTATAAGCCCAAGTTTCCTCACGATGCTTTCCTTCACCGTTTGTAAGTGGTATCTTAATAATCTTAGAAAGTACATAATATAACGGCAAAAGTCACATTGGTACTTGCCGTTGGTTGCATGAGAAGCATCTTGCATCTTAAACCTTAAACGACACTGAGGATTCTAAGAATACAAAACCATTAATATAAAATTAGATCTAGTAGGTTCGAGATCATCTCCTGTTATTAATTTCTATCACAAATATTAGTTTTACGTAAATTTCAACCGAAGTTCTTATAACGAATTTGTTTTAGTAAAGCAATCGTAGCGAGTACTCGTCGGGTGCTCTGATTGGTCGGCTCCAGTGCTCCAACCAATCATAGCGTCGAACGGGCTCGATACTATTACATTACGAATGCGATTGTTATTCGTGCTGGGCACTCAGACCGTCGAACGCGATCTCGTTTTGATTTCTTTTAACGTAAAAAAATCTCTGCTCTACAATAGCAATCTAATAAAACTTCTAACTTCTCTATTTCAGACCCAAGCTGGTAGCGTTGACGACAGCAAATGGGAACACAAAAGAAGACAACGTCTATCACAACAACCAAAAAGTATTAAAAGTAGCCAATCGACAAGATGTAAGTATGCTAAAATTATTTCACAATATTGTAAGACTTGATATAAAATAATTCGAATCTTTGGGTCTACTGAAAATGTCTGATAAAAAAAAATGGTTGCCTGTAAAGTCGTTTTTACGGGCGAAGATTTTACGTGACAACGTCTTTTTCTCGGTAGAATATTTATTGATATGAATATAATTAAATTGCACAATAGGAACAAGGAATTGAATGAACTAGTGCTGCGCGCGCGGCAGACCGATCATAGTTGAGTGGGAGAGAGACGCAAAGCATTCGGCGGGCCTCTCTCTCGTTCGGTGACTCATCGTAACGTTACCGAGCGTTACACTTTTTCATAAGTGACTCCCAGCCGCAACCTAATTTAAGACGTTGTCACGTCAAAAGAAAACATCCCAATAAACAATTATTTACTAGACCCAAGAATCGACCAACTCAATTAATGACGAAAGCAACAATCATTGACTGCCTTGTTGGCCGAATGGTCGCAAATGCGACTGCCGGGCAAGGGGTCTCGGGTTTGGTTCCCGGGTAAGGAAAAGTATTACTGGGTTTTTAAAATATCAGTAGTAGCTCGGAGTCTGGAAATATGCCCGGTATATGGCAACAGGCTCACCACCATACGGAACTCATAACATAAATAGTGAAAAGTGGGTGTTACATTGTACAGTGGCATTAAGTGCCGTAATGTGCACCTCTGCCTACCCCGTCGGGATTAAAAGGCGATTGTTATGCAACAATCATTTAAAATGACGATTATGTTTTAACTTATCTGAAATACAGGAAAAATAGGATCAATGAATTATTATTGTTTGTTACTTAAGAATAATTGAGTATTGTTCTTAATACTTGTATATATGTTACTGTAAAAGCTCGAACTGCAGTAAATCCTAAGATATTCCAGTAAAACCTAAGATCTACCAATTCCTAATGGTAAATGTCCAAAAAAATTTGCGATTCGAACTTTTACCACCATTCCGTTGGTAAATCTTAGGATTTATATCAACGGCATGGTAAATGTAGAAAAACAAAACATGTCATAATGTGCTCAGCGCATCGACTTGTAGCTTGCCGCCCCCGCTACCCGCGCACCGTCTCCGCCACTCCGCTCGCCTCAATCGCTCGTTTGACACGTTTGAACTCGCACGATAAATTGATTTATAATTATATTTTTGGTGTTTAAAAGTTATTTATGAATAAAAATGAGTAAGAAGCAAAGATTTTATCCCTTAAAAAAAATAATAAAAATAAATCATAAGACATCAAAGAAAACATTTTCCTCATCGCTACCGTGAGGTAGGGTGCCCAAAAGACTGGCAGCATTGCCACGTT